ATTCATTATTAATCATTATTATGTAATATGATATGATACTATAATCATGCTACTTTTGGCTGTTCAAATCCTCCGCAGATTGGCCTCTGGCGTGCCGCGCTCTTCTTATGTCGCCGGATGGTCCGGGGACCCTGTGGGAGAAGGCACAGGAGCCACGTGTCGTCGGAATGAATTTGCGCAGAAAACGGGACTTAGGCACAAAATTTTCATGCGATAAAAACACATTTTATGTAGATTTAAGATTTAATGGAATAGAAAATAAGATATTAATGGAATGAAAAACAAGTTTGTGAAGATATATGGGATTTGATGGGAACATCAGGAACTCATGGTTTGGGGTCACCCGTTTTTTTTTACCTTCCCAAATGATGGTTGTGCATTAAGGGAGACTATCCCCAAACTGGTTTAGTTCAGGTTTGTGTTTTGTTCAAAGCTTGCCCTGATCCATTCAAGCAATCATTATCCACCCATGTGAACAGTGGCCACAAATTCAAGTGACATTCGTTCCTTGCGGGTTACTTCGCCATGATTCATCACGTTTGATTTTTTTGAGAACCTGGGTCATGAGAAAAGAGCAACCCAAAGCCACCAAAAAATCACGGATCAGATTGATCAGATCATGTAAAATCCCCATCTTCAAAGGTTCAATTTTTTTGTGAGAAACAACTTCAATGATCTCCATGTCTTTCCAATGGTCTTTCCATGTTTTCCCCAAGTTTCTGCCACGCGGGAGACAAGCCGAGGTAGAAGTGTTGGGTGACCGTTTTTTGGACATCTTGGACACGTTCCTGCCGTTTCTCTATGCGACTTGGATCAAAATTGGCCGGAGAGCCATGGCAATTTGCGGATGAACAACTTCCTTAAAATCTTAAAATTGAACAGGGAGCACCATAGATGGTCACGATTCAAACCATAGATCCGAACAGAAGATGTACTGTTCCTCGTCAAGATTTGCCCTAGCTGAAACCCGCACCATTTTTTGGTGGTTGTTCTGAGGTTTTTTTGGTGAACAGTTCACTGGATCGGTGCGTTTGGAAGAAGATATCAGCTGGGAGTAACAGAAAGTTCAACCTGCTGCTGTTTTTATTTTTCGATTTTGGAACTTGGAACCGGTCAACGGAGAGACTGTATGATGTTTGGAATATGTCAAGGAAGCCTGTTTCAAACGGCAAAAGGCCATGTTTTTTTTTTAATGGATATGTATAGATCTCCCTCAATCTTAATATATCTTAATCATATGTATAGATCTCCATCTTAATCATATCTTAATAGGATTCAGTAGGTTTTTCAGCGGTTTTTCAGCGGTTTACTATTCGCAGAGATGGCTTGGTCTGGCTTGTGAAAGCGTGCCATGCCAAGGCGACCAATGACCAGACCGTGGGGGCACTTAGAAACCGAGCCGCCCAGCCATCATTTTTTTTTAAATGTCGATATATGTTGATCATCATTCCAGTATTCTTGCCATGGATTTTAGAGGTTCATCTAATCAATTTAGAGTTTCGGTGGTTGTAAATATTGACGTTATTTCGTTGTTTTTAGATATTTTTCACTACATGTTTAGATACGACCAACCATAAAATCTGGGTAAATCATAACGACCTCACTGTTCTCCCTCACTGGAATCATGGTTTTTTCGGGGAAATCATCCCCAGCCATGGCCTTAAGTTAGGTCAGTGAAATTCTGAAATCTTATAATTTACGCAGATAAAATGGAATAACCCATAGGATCCATGTATGGTATATATATGCTAACATTTGGGGTATATTGATGGTAAATGTTACCATATATAGCATACATGGATCCTATGGGTAATGAATCCCGAATGACGCACTAGCATTTCTTGGAGGGGCGAAGAACCGCTGGAACCGGGGTTGGTCTCCTAAAGCTGCCAACGGTTCATGTTTTGATCATGACAGATTGTCATGTATCCGCATGTATTGATCTATCTATAATTATAATATATATATGCAGGTAATCAGTATATATATATAGATAATAGAGCTGATATCTTGTATGTTATATATACATATATATATATATATATACATATATATGTACATTGTTTATTTACAGTATATACTAATCTTATGTAGATATAATAGTACATATATATACACATACATAATAGAGCTGATCATGACATCCTATTGCACCACAAAAGCATTGTAGCTCAAATTTTGCGGATCGTATTCCGTTTGTACATTCAAGGGAAACCACGCAACCATTGTTTTTGGTGTCCCTACCTATCGTTTGTCGAATCACATACCTGGAATCCCAAAGAAGCAACTCCTTCGGGGAACCAGTATTTCTAATTGGTTCACCAAACATCACCAAACATGTTTCGTTTTACCAATCAATTTTGATCATTTCTGATGTAGGATTTTTCAAATCTCTTTTTTGCCACATCAAGATAACATATTTTATGGTGAAGATGAAGATGATCACAGTTTATCAAATTTTTCTACAACGATTGACTATTGACACTTTTCAACGGAATCAACCCATCATTTTGACTAGCATATGCATTAATAACCAATAGGAGCATTAAACATGACTTTTCCCCAAATCTTTCTATCCGTGAAAATCCATTAAGTAGCACCAAAAAATCATCCGTGACAACTTTTCACAATGATATGTTGTTTGGACCTATCTGGCCTATCTTTCATGAGCAGAACAACCACAATTAGAACGTTTCGCATCGATTGCTACGAAGGAGTTGGCCGAGCTCACGATTTTCGCACATCACTTGGTGTGTCACTGGGCAGCGGTTTCTGGGCGGTTTTTTTCGGCTTGGGATGAGAGATAGCTTTGGGAGTTGGTGATTGGGAATTCCTGAATTGGTGATTGAGTTTTTCGTACATCGGCGTCCCATTGGGGTTGACCTTGCTTTTGGTCAACTTATTTGACTTCCTGATCCAACGGCGTCCCAATGAGATTTGACACAATTCTGTTAAATTGGTCGACTTTAACGGTTCGGAGTACCCTCTGGTAATTTGTTACATAGCTATTGAAAATGGCCATTTATAGTGGATTTTCCCATTAAGAATGGTGATTTTCAATAGCTATGTTAAATTACCAGAGGGTAAATTTCTTTTTTTTGTGACATTTATGTGACATTGCATTCAGGAACCTGTCAAAGACATTGTGCCTAGTCACGTGGGATTTTAACCAGATGGCTGGTAGGTAATATGGGATTTTAGCATAGCCAACTGTGCGAATTATGAGAAGCTCACTGCCCAACGTCCCCATGATGGGAAGGGGGAACAACTCCACCATGGCCGTCTGCCACCTTGCTGAATTGCTGAAATTTATCAACAAAGCCGCGTGGGAATCACATTCAGAATGGGACACTGCACAATGATTTGCCAGCTGGGAAAGCTTACGAACATGTTCAACTATGACAAGTTTGAAGTGGGCTGATGTCTTCCATGCCAGTGGGGTTGTAAGTGGTTCTCTTGGGTGGGACCCCACCTACAAATTGTCATTGGTATTTAACCGAGTACATGAGTCGATCCCAAATACCAATTACAATTCTGAATCCCATGAAATGTCGATTGAATTGGATGCCCAAAATTGCAATGTTGTCGGGGAAAAGTCGGGTTTAAAACACACTTGCGAGATCCCCCACATTGGCTGAATTTGAACGGAACTCCAAAATGGCCATTTTTTGGGCCCATGTGGGTGTGGCTGAGAAGGGGGACCCCCAAGAATGTCCTTAGAACAGGGGAAACTTATGATCATCTATTGGAATTTGAGGTACCCGATTTTCAATCAAACCCATGTCATGTCCCACTTTTCCACAGCAGATTTATGAATTTGTGCCCAAGGTCAGTACCAAAAGAAGATGGCTCCCTACTTGCAAAAGTGGTTCTGGGCACCCAGCGACCATTTTTCATGGAGCCTCCGGAAAATGGACTGGACTGGACTGGACTTTGGCAAACCGAAGACGCGTCCCACCAGCTCTGGTTGGACGTCTGGAAGTCCACGTCTGACGAAAGCATAGAAGTCAAAGAAATGGTGCTTTTTTTAAGGGAACTGTGCGTCCAACAGCTCTTCGATGATATGTGCCATGGTCATCCATCAAGAGTTGAATGACCATGGCAGTACCATGTAGCCATGGCATGGGAGATGGTCATAGCAATCTTTTTCGGGAAAAATGACCAATTTCAATGGGAATTTCAGGAACCTCAATTCGAGGTAGCTACCATATATAAGTCCTATTTTTCAGGCCTAAATTTCAGGGAATATCCCCACAATTCATATGGCCAAACATATGGTACTAACGTACCTCTATTTTAGGATCCTGAAGATCTCCCATTGACCCTGCCACTCTCTGGATCTCTCAATTAAACATGATGCAATGGCTATGGAGATCCCCCCATTCTTCACAGCTACATACAGGTACTGAGGATCTCGTTCATCAATGTGCCATGGCTTCCATAACTATGTTAGATTACCAGGGAGATTTATAGCTACGGCAGCTATGGGACAGACATCCTGATTGCTGGTCACACTGTCCTGCCATGCTCGTGCCATGCTCGTGCCATGCTCGTTATGGTTTCAGTCCCGCGAGCAGCTGATCCAAAAATGATCGTCCGGGACATGTGAAATGTACAATTTTTATCAGAGCCTGCTCATATCTAGAAATACCGCATATACAATGGTAGTTATATCATGGTTTAGACTTTCCACCAGTACTACTGTGGATGGTTGCGAAATCCTGCACCAGTTTTTCTAGATGGTTTATCCATGTTTATCCCATTATTTGTAGTGTTTCAACCATCCGTTTGGTGGTGCAGGATTCTTCCATCCACAGTAGTTAGTAATATAGCTCAGATTTTTTCCACCATTACCAATCATTCATAGAATTGGATGATGGGAAAATTTTAACCGGAAAGCCCGATCAAATTTGATGGTAAAAACCCATGGGTTTCCGGTTAAGATTTTCCCTTAACCCAATCCAGTGAATCGCACCATGGCACGGTGACATCGCGGTGCGATGGCAGCGCCTAGCGAGGCCGGTTCTTTTTTGACCCCCAAGGGCCCAACGTGCCATGGTCAAAAGATGGATTTAACCACTCAAAATATGGATTTGATGCAGAATTCATGGGGAATTCATGGAATATGAAGGGAATAACCACTAAAAAATAGGGCAACAGCTGGGATATTGATGGGGAATTCATGGGATAATCATGCGCGCTTAAAAGTTTAAGATGATTACATGGAATATGCTTGGGGATATAATTTAATATAAGGGGATGTAGAAGCAACTAAAACCAGAACATACTTTCATATTTTTCAGAGGGGTTGAAACCACCAACCAGATAAGGATTTAGATACCCACTATGTAAATCTATGTAAGATTTCCCATGGCCTGGGATGACCATACCCAGTTCTTCCAAAGGACGCAGTAAACTAGGTCTTTCAAGTAAGACCCTGTTTTACTTCTAGAGCCTGTTTTATTCATACCCAGTTTTTGAGGGTCGCTTATCCCAGCCCATGGACCACACAATCTACAGCAGCTTGCAACCATGTCTATTTGAACTATAGTACTATGGCTTCCAAGGGACAAAAAGAATGGCACGTCCAAGCAAAGAACACACTTACTTGACTCAAAGCATATGTTTTATTCCATGGCCATTTTATGGCATTGTCATGCCATGGTTGGCTTGCTTTTTTCCCGTGCTAGCTCCAGCAAAACCTGCACTATTCATACCTCACACATCGGAAAAGTGAAACTGGTAAAACCCACAGCCGGCGAAAAGATAAATCCTTGTCAAGTCTCTAAAGCAAAATTATTGGTGAGTTCTGGGGATCCTTTAACTTGCTTGCTGCTATAGGAGCTGTTTCCTTTCCTTTCTCGGGAATATTACTAGCAGGGGCCATTTCGGCTCCAATTAGGAACACTTAAAAAGTTAAACCGCTGGCTGAAAAGAAATGAACATGAACCTGAGTCCACGGAGGGTCTAAATCAATTCAAATGCACAACATGCACATCAATCAATTTGACTGCACATTCACAGGTGAAAACATGGAATCCCACTCCAGAATGCCCAAACCAGATTTATCCACATGTGGAAGTTTTTCACAGCCTTTTCACGAGTTTTTCACGGCCTTTTCACGAGATTTTCACGGTCTTTTCACATTTTTGGGTGTTGCGTTGTTCGTGTATTTTTGCGACAGTTTCAGCGGAAACCATGAAGACATGATTTTAAGACCACCAACTACAATTTCAGATCAAGCAAATATCGCACAGGCACGCTTACAGCGGCCACCCTTCAAATCGGTGGTACACTGACAAGTAGAAGGCAACATTTCCTTTTACTCGTACCTCATCAGAGGTAATGTTAAAGGCCGGGGATCAATATGAGAATCACTGCACTTCATTTTGTTACACAATCATGATGTTGATGGGAGGTCTGGGCTATCATTTCAGCCACAATTTGATGATTTGTTTAGTTTGTTGTTTTTTAGTTCGTTTCATTTTGCTAATCCAGCTGAAGTGCGGTTTCAAAAACTTAGATGGGTGAGGTCTGGAAGGGTTTTTGTTCAAGCATGTGATGATGTTCCTAAAATACCACTTACATATCTCTTTATATCTCGAGCCCATGATCTCTATACAGTATTTGTTCAGCATGCTGCAGCATGCGGTATTCATACGGATGTTCATGATTGTTGATCAGCCTTTAGATGTTTGATCAGGACATGGCCATACTTGATCCCGAGTAGCAGGGCCTAGTTTGACTTTAAAAGTAAAACTAGGTCGAGGACCTAGTTTAACTAGGCCTTTCGAGAAGGCCTAGTTTAACTAGGTCGTGGAAGATGAGGGATACAATAACTTTGCAGCGACCACGGCACATATGGCAATCTGCTGAAAATGAGGCTTTACACCATGCCCCGATGCTCCATGTAGTGAACTCTTTTATACGTGGAGAAGATGGGATGTACATAATTGGGCTTAACGTCTAAAGCCACCCTTGAGACTAATCACCAAAAGGCTGGATTTCAATCCCCCTGTTCCTTGGTATCAAAATTCTTTTCTTCGCCCACCTTCGAAAACTTCTGAGAAGTGATTCTGGGATTTTCTGGGTTTGTGTGGGGCTCAAACATCTCAAGGACTTTGGACAGATACACATTTTTGAACCAGAAAGTCGAAACAGGATGGTCCCTCTGAACCAATTCCATGCTCCAATTTTTTCTCAGAGTGCGATGGAAAAGCCAGGTGACGAAATTTACACGGCACCTATTGGATCTTAAGGGTTGGGATACCTGCATCGCAGGGACCCGCAGGAGGAAACTTGAAGGTTCTTGCCCCTATGGACGCCAGGCAAGGATTTGATATGATTTTATTGTATATTCATACAGATACACAGTCACGTCTCAGAAGTTGTGTTCGTTGTCTGAAGCAAAAAAAGTGGAGCCACTTTAAGGGATGGTTTCCACAATTTCACGTTCTCCATGTGGGAGTGTGTAAATGAGATAGACCACAATTTATCGTCATTTTTACGCGGTATATCATGATGAACCAGTTTTTTTTGTTTCCCATGGTTTTCCCTTCATCATCATTATATCATCATTATAATTTTATAAAAACAATGACAACTATTCTTCTTCATATCATTACTATTACCATTATTCTTGCTGTTATTAGTTATTATCATTATTACTAATTGTATATCATTATTCTTCAGACATAATTAAATAAATTATAAGAATAATGAATAATATTTGTATATCATTATTCGAATTCTTCAGACATAAAAGCTGGTTATTTAACATAGCCATGGAAAATCACCATGCTATTAATAGGTAAACCATCTATTTTTCGGGCCATCTATACCATGGCTATGTTGAATAACCAGAGGGTAAATAAATGGTACTGATGGTTTATTCGTAAATAGGCCATGTCTATCTCGAATCTAATACCAAAGGGTTTTTTATTGGTCATTAATAGCTTAACCATCTATACCTATGGGTCATCTGTAAATAAATCTATAACCTGAAGATAATGATTATACCTATTATATGGATTATTATCATTATAACCAGGTGGTAAAGATCTATACCTTCTGGTAATTTAACATAACTATGGAAAATCACCATTTTTCATTGGAAAATCCACTATTTCGACTGGGCCATGGCTTCAATAGCTTTTTGTATGTTTACCAGGCCGGGTACCTATGGGTCATCTGTAAATCTCATTCTTCAGACACCTTGCGATTCTATGGATCGCCTGAAGGCGGCCGCTCTCTTGAAGACGTTCTTGGAGAGATCCTGGGGCTCCAGCCTCAAGGCCCCGGCGGGCTTGGGGTCGTGGCGATTTTTGTTGGTGCGCCACGTTGGTTGGCGGTGAATGTTGGTGATATACCCGGCCTGGTAAACAAAAAGCTATTGAAGCCGTGGCCCAGTCGAAATAGTGGATTTACCCAGCTAGAACATGGTGATTTTCCATAGTTATTTGTATGTTTACCAGAGGATATCCCGGAAAAAATCATGAACATCCACCTTTAGTAATGTGACATATCCTAAAAAACATCCGAAAAATCCACCTTTGATGATCATTGATGTCTCCAAATCAGCAAAACCCCCTCCACCTTCGGTGAACTTTGAGTTTGCAATCTCAATTTCCTCATGGATCTCGTAGCCCAGCTACAAACATCCCAGCCATGCTTGATAACCCAAAAATGGGTAACCCTAATTGTGATTAATTGTTGGTTATGTATGTACAGTATATACTTGTTTATATTATGAGGGAGTCGTTCTAAAACCCATGCAAGACTTTTAGTATCCGAGTGACATCTGCAGATATGGATGTGTGTTTTTGCTGCAGTGGCGAAAGACCGCGAAAGGGCGGCGAAAGGTTCGCGAAAGGTCTGAATACCACTATTTATAGACATATGGGTATGGGTCAATACCTATAGATACATTTTTAGTGGGATGAACATCCATTTACCAGCTATTTTGGGGTTCACTAGGTACCAGGGTTTTGACCCATCCCCATATATGTTATCGTATTATATATATAGACATATATATATATATATTATATTATGTTATCGTATTCTTATGTATTCATGCTTGGCACTTTGCCTTGCAGAATTGCCACAGGATCCATGGGACATCTTGGGACTGTTTTTTTTGAATGTATACAACACTTTGCAGACATATATAGACAGATGTAGACATCTGCGTTTCTTTGTCGATGGATACGAACAGGTTTCAGTTTCGTATTGTCCCATGTTCTTAAATTGGCAGTGGCACCCTGATTAACACAAGTTATAAAAAGCCACCCTTGCATAAACATTAGTTTCCTGAACTTGTATTTTTTAGGCGAGAAATCCGCGAAAGGTTCGCGAAAGGTTCGCGAAAGACGAATCCTCCCGGACCCAGCCCTGACCCAAAATGGCCTCATTCTGCAATGGTTTTTCAAAGAATGGGTGCAAAACCAATGTCCAGAAGTCAAGCGTCCAGGAACACTGACTTGCCGCCATCAACTCCGTGGACTGGAACAGACTTTTCTGTGTTTCCAATTTCTATACGACGTGATGTTTTTAATACAATCCTCCTGTGTAACTCTGTTTTATGAAATATGCACACGAAAACATGATCATAATATTCCCTGTCCCATCCTGTCCCGATTCTGCTGGGGCGCGTAAGGGCGCGAAAGGTTCGCGAAAGGGCGGCGTAAGGGCAGTTTTGGGGTACCATGATTTTGAACAACCAGATACATTCCACATTATCCCATACTATTGCATTGTCTCCTCATTATATCCTCATGTTGTTTTTAAAATAATCATATATGGGATAATCCATTATATTACCTCATTATCCCAATTATTCCGTTATTATCCCGATGATATTACCCTCTGGCAACCAAACATGGCACTTGAAAATCCCAAATCCTCTCATTTATGTTGTTATGTTTAACCTTTAAAAACACATTTACATAGGATTTTGAATTGCCATGCTGGGTTACCCAACAGGTACTCTCTGGTAATTCACGCGAACTGGAAAATCACCATGTTTAATGGGTAAATCATCTTTGGCAATTTTCAATAGTTATGTTAGTTTACCAGAGAGTATCTCATATGATTCTTAATCCAGTTGGCAGGTGATTTATCCCAATTTTTATTTCCAGAATCCTTTCATTTCGTTTTTGCTTCCCTTAAAAAAAGCACAGTTACACCAAGGAAAATCACATAAAATCTCCATGTTCAATGGGTAAATCCACGATTTCTATGGCCATGGCTTCCATAGCTATTTAAGCTGGGCGGTATCTCACCCCATTTCTCCCATTTGCTATCGGCTCCACCACCACACACGGTCACCACACACCGGTGCTTTGCTCCCACCAGGCCTGGATCACAGCCTTCGATGTGGAAAACGTTGCTGGGCGGTTGGAATCCGATTTCATGTGTCTTTGTTTGTGCCCAGCAACAATCATCATGATTATCATGGGATTATAGATGATTATATATATAATTATATATATATATATATATCCATTTATATATATATTCCCCATATAGTATATTCCCCATATAGTATATCATATGATATATCGATGACATGCGAAAGATTGCTTAAAAATGCCATCCAATAAATTATTATATTCCCAAAACTTGATTAGTTCTGCCCGAATTCGAATCCCATCCGTCTCATCGCACTTTTCGAGGTGCAGCGCATTCACAAGATCGAGTTTATAGAGATCATGCGGAAGTCGGGCTACATTGGAAACATCCAACAGATCTTCAACGAGTTGTTCGATGACTCTGGTGCTGCTTGGTTGGACTTGGTTGGACTTGGTTGGAAGGGCCGGCTTTCAGCAGTTGAATGAAGCCAGAAGGCTGAAGCCAAAAACAGTTGATGAGGCTAGGTCTGTATGCTGCAACAATTCCCACACACACAACATGTCTATAAGATTTGACATGTGAAACCCTGAAGCAAGAGGCCTTGTTTTCCTACCATGACCGTTGGTCAAGCACATTCATCTAACCACTGAGAGAAATCAACAAAGCAATGTTGGTTTATGGATTGTGTTTTGCGGTTGTTATCCTTGGCTGAAGTAGATCTTTTTGATTAATCAGAAAAACACTGATATAATGCTCCAAGAATCCGCTTTTCTTCGTTTTTTGCGAATGATTCGAATGATTCAAGATCATTCCAACTGTTTTTGAATCAAGGTATGTGTTTGTCATCTGCAAATAGGGTACCACAAATCAAGTGGTTTGCCATTCCAGGACCTTCCTCCACAGCGTTTAACTCTTGGTGGGGTACTGATCACACCGTTAAGACATGTTAAAACCTTGTCTTTAGATTGCAGAAAATCCGTTCAATCGAGCCACAAACTGTTTCAGGTCCAGAGAGTAGGCAAAAAGGATTGGCTCAATCCCAAATGAAGAGTGGGTGGGACATCAATGATTTAAGAGAAAGAAAACAAAGCTGCTAGCAGGTCAGCTTCAATTGCAAATTGTAACATCTGAAGCATTTTTTTTTTAAATTTAGGCAATACAGTGCTTTGCAGTTTTTGGTTCATTTTGAAGTGTGAAAAGTGCGTGAACAGTGCGTGAAGCGACCGTGAAAAAACCCGTGAGACACCTGTGAACACCATCAAAACACTGGGGTGTGACACTTTGCACACTGCCTTCTTGTGTGGAGCGTGTGTTTCACGTCATGGATGCTACTTTTAGCGTTCAGGAATGGCAAGCTAAAGGGAAGGGAACTGTTTGGAACCGAAAAAGGCCGGTATTGCTTCTGCATTCTTGGTTTGATCAAAGATGCTGCTTCAGCTCTTTGGGTTCGGTAGTGATAGGCAGTGAACATGATGGCTTCGGTAGAGAAATGGGACGAAACAAACCAAACGGTTGGAAGGTTAGGATCGTGGCTAACAGCCTTGGCCCCATTGGATTTGTTGAAGTAAATCTGAAGTAAATCTATGGTGAATCTCTTGGGATCGATGAATTCGTCATCGCAAATCTGGTTGGTGGTGACTGGAATCATCTTTATAATGGGATTATATACCAATAATAGTGGTTAATGATGGTTAGTTAATAATGACTGTTTGGTGGTTTGGAACATGAATTTTATTTTCCGTAATACATGGGATAATCCTTCCCATTGACGAACTCCATCATTTTTCAGAGGGGTAGGTATACCACCAAGCAGAAATCTATGATCCGAATACGGGTTTGTCTGAAATGGGCTATCCTCCGAAAATTTGATGCCCCCTGAGGAGATTTCCATGTCCAAGATCGACCCGGAGCAAGCGGTACCTCGACCCTCTTGAGATTGATCCGCTTTGATATAGCCCATGTATCTTTAGATGATTTACCTAGTTGGCAATGGTCATTTTCCATAGCTACCTAGAAAATTGCCAGAGACTATAGATCGATGTGAAATGAATGATGTACCTTCCGGTCTCATTCATCAAACGCTGGAACATACATCAGTTATCGCAGATTTTGCCAGCTATAAACCTCCATTTATAATATTTATAGAACACTTCCCAACTTGCCACATTCAATGACACCGGAGGGTAAACGTACTATCGAATTGTGGTTACAGAACTGCGAAAGTTGGATCAAACTGGTGATGTATTCAGCATGGAACTATCGCATATCTGGTGCGATTGTGATTATTGGATCAACCAGTTGGGTCAACGATGCACCGATGCACAGATTGGTCTGATGTCTACCCTCTGGTAATGACTATCATAGCTATCAAAAATGACCATTTATAGTGAGTTTTCCCATGAAAAATGGTGATTTTCCATAGTTATGTTAGTTTACCAGAGGGTAAATACCCTCCAATACAGTAAATGAGGTGGACACTCAGATGTTTCAGCGAAGATTGGACCACTGATTCACGGATTGGTGTGTTTCTTCTGAAAAAATATCCGGTAATTTGTTGTAGTTTGCTATTGAACATTGCCATTTTCTTGGTTGATTTACCTATTTAAATATGATGATTTCTATAGCAAACTGTTAGTTTACCAGAAGGTAATCTATATCTCAATCTATGGAATCACCACCAACCAGTTTCTTACGGCATCGTTGCTCAGAAAGCCACTCATTTCTGTGGCTTGCTTCCCATTTCCAGGGAAGAATGAGTTCCATGACGGATTTCCCACCTTGACATACCTTGACCCAGAAACTGAGCAAACATGGCAGTGAAATTCGGACGCACAAAAAAATGTGTAACATATGGATCCAAATACTTCCTCCTCCAAGCTACTCGACCCTTCATCAAATACTTCCGTGGTAATTAAAACTGGATCCATAAGATACACCTTGTACCAAATATATATATATATTTATAATATAATATACACATGTAATTACATATATATATATATATGCAATCTCCAAATACCTCACGATATTCCATTCTATCCCAAAATTTGGAATACCTTTTCTGAAATGGCGCCCAGGACCTTTGGACTCGATTTCGCGAATGGTGTCTTGGCACTTTCCGCTCTGCACCTTGGCAGATTACGTCAAGGGCTAGGGTTGTTGTTGTGTGCCACGCGCTCAAGGTACTTGGATTATATGTGATTGTTGTATAATTATGAACCATAATCCATATATGAAACTTTATGAAACGAGTCAAGTTGGATTTGTTTTTGATTGTACGAACTAGTCTACGAAGATTGGGGTACGGTCATCGATCCATGATAGACTTGGGCATGCCATTCAACATGGGGGGACGGGTCTTTTTCACATTCAGACACCCTCTATCCCAAATATTAACATCGTTGCTGAATTTACCCTCTGGCAAACTAACGTAGCTATAGAAAATATAGAAAATCGCCATTATTAATGGGTAAATTCACTATAAATGGCCATTTTCAATAGCTACGTTAAATTACCAGAGGGTACCATTGGTTTTCATCCTCAAACAGGTCACTCGTCACGGCAGTTTCGCTGAGGTGGATGAACTTCTGACGCGTTTGGGGAAGAGCAACGAGGCGCGGGCCACGACCGTTGTCATGGTCGATACCCGATACGGTCATTACAGTTTCACGTGACGACCCTGGCAGAAAGTCGGGCTTCGAAGATGATCGTTTCCACAGTTTCATCCAAAAGTAGGTTATTGCGAGGGTCTATGATGGTCTATGTACATTTACCAGAGGGTTTGCCAGTTTGCGAACAACGGAAAGTGCCGGGAATTTCCCAGATGATTTACGGGATTCACGATGCTAAAGCTTAATGATTGTCCATGGCTATGTTAAATGACTCTAGAGGGTAATTGTTGTCACCATTGCGAAACCAAAAAATCGAAGATGGGACAGCGGAGGGGGGGGTCATCTTTTAGTAAATTATAGTGGGATACTCCTCCTGGTGAAATCTTTCGATCCCAGCCATGCACCGCCGCCAGGAGCGCTTCAAGAATCGCCAGACCATCAAGGCGCGTCTGGCCAAGAATCCCCAGACCATCAAGGCGCGTCTGGCCGCGCTCAACGACTCTTGGTCGCAATGGACCTGGGCAAGTCATGGGGGTTTCCTATGGCGGGCTACCCCCAGTTCTCCACTTTGAGTCACTTTGAGATTTTCATGGATTTTCCCATCATTTTTATCATCTATTTTGGGGTAGCCCCAAAACCTCTATATAAACTTACCTTTGATTACAATGTTCCTATGGCGCAAAAAGCAAGCATCCATATGTTACATAGCTTCACAAACCATCCATTTACGGTATTTTACGGTCAAATTTGGGGATGGTTGGCATGATTGCTGCTAGCAAACACTACAATCCAGCCACGTGTATGTGTGGTATATGTGCCATGAAAGATGTTAGGCCAGATGTTAGGCCCGATGTTTGGTGCGTCGCCACCTCCGGCCCCACATGATTCGATGGGTAGTTGGAGCTGGCTGAGCTGGCTGAGCTGGCTTTCATAGATTGCATGTGGTGCTAGTATATCGAACATGTGTTTATTTGTTGTTACATCCAGGAAGACACAAAACAAATAGATCACAAAAGAAATGTGCAAACATCTACTGACATTTCTGAAAATCATTGTTTCAATTTGTTTCATATTGTTTCCATGTATAAAACCAATACTCTGGATAAATGACATGACAACCTCACGTCGCTTCATGTCACCCTTTATGATCCTTGGGATTGGTGTAACTATCCCAAACCGGCCATATTCATCAGGATTGTTGATTATAGTACTTTAGTTACTAGGTAATAACAGTTGTTATATAATAGTACAGTAGTTAATTATGTAATACTATACTGTTATTATATCAGTATAAAACCATACAAATGACATTGTTGATGATACAGATCATACAGATCTATAATTTTGTTTCACATATAAGGTACAACTGGTTAGAAGTGTGATTTTCTGACTGCTCCCACGACTTCTCCCCTTGGGGCCCTTGGTCCAGACGTCGTTGTTTTGTCGGCACTAGGAGGCGCAATTCAAAAAACGAGTGCAAGAGCTGGGTTTCTCGGTATGTAGCTGGTACTCCATGGGGGGTAATGCATTTATGGTGAATATATGTGAATATACATATACATATACATATATATATGGTACTATAATATTTTGGATATATATATATATATATGGGATCATCTAAGTACATGAGAGTAAATGTTGTCATTCCAGGATCCAATTGATGGAGCTACGTTAAGTAGTACCATATATGTTTGGCCATATGAATTCTGGGGATATCCCCTGAAATTTAGGCCTAATATACATCGATCTTATATATGGTAGGTACCTCCAATAAATCGGAACCTGAAATGGCCAGTGATAATGGGGATACACCTATATGTTTCTTTTTTTCACGGAGGTAAAATATGGTAACTTACCTGCAGAACATGGGTTGAATTCGAAGTTGGGGATCATCTCATTCATTTCATGTGGTGAACAGCGGCACACCCGAGTTGTAACAACCATACTCAAGCGGTTGGCAACCCTGGTCAGACATAATATAATCACAACAAAGGATCTGTGCAACCAATCAACTCTAATCCAACTTTTAGATATCCTTTGGAAATGATATCGGAAACATCTATGATGAACCTTTTCACGTTTCATTATACTGGGAAAAACATTTCAATTTTTTATCGCCAGGTATTTTCAGATGTATTAAGCTCCTCTGCCCCATTTGAACCAATCAAGAGGAGATACCCTCCAGTAAACTAACATCGCTATGGTATAGATGGCCCATTTATAGTTGATTTACATTGATTTACCTACTAAAATTGGTGATTTTCCATCGTTTTTTTTTGATACCAGAGGATATCCACCTCATCCCATCTCACTTGCCGAGGTTGGGAGCACGGGCAAGAAGCCTTGCTCTTCTCAGCCTTGGACACCGAAGGCTCAGGTGCCCGCCATGGGGGTACCCGCATTTTCCCGGAAAAGAACCATCAATTTTGGGGTACCCCCATTCATGGAACCCCCCGTATATCCATATTAATTATATCATATAGTAGAATAAGAAATTTCCTATATGAATACCAACGGGAAACGATATTAAACCATGATATGTCTTGATTAGATAGGTTTGGTTCTTATGTTGATATTGATTTATTTGCTGATTTTCTTGCATAGTCCTTTTTCTGTGTGTTGACATGTTGTTTTGTTGCTATGGTATCAACTGTTGGTTCACTTCGTTGTACTTACGTATATACATATATTCTGAAGTCTGAATCATATTTCTTTCTCAGTATAGATTATGCTAGATACATTGTTTTGATCATTTGTCTTTTGGTATTCCCAAGTTTTGTATCGGATTATCTAGTAATATGTAATCCAATGAGTATCAACTTTTAATCTACATATCTACATTATTCTACATTATAGTATGATACCAATCATCAATCAATGGTAGTACACCACATGTTTGATGGTTTATACTAGTTTATACCACCCATTTATGGTGATTTTTGGGATGGTTTCTTATGGATTTAACCACATTATACCCTTTGGTAAACTAACACAACTATGGAAAATCACCATTTTTAATGGGAAAATCCACTATAAATGGTCATTTTCAATAGCTACGTTAAATTACCAGAGGGTATAGTATGGTATGCAGGCGTACTGAGGCGCGAACACTTTCGATGGCTGGAGGCTGAGCCTTGCTCCGATATTTTTTTTGGTGCCTAAAAATGTGGAAAACACCCGGGCGCTTAATGATGATTTAATGGAATTTAATGGGATTTCATGAGGGTTTGATCAAATTGCCGCTGTATGATCTATAGATTTAATGATGTTCATGGATTCGTCATGGATTTTTATACCATCGATTGATTTATTATTGGGGATTAAATAGTGATCAAGTGGGAGCCAACCAACTTGGTATGATGTCGTTGGGGGTGTCTGACAGAGGGGCGTATATCCGCCGCACACATTTGAGGTATTTGATTTTCAGTCAAGCCGAACTCCGGTGAAAAATATCGTATGCTTTAGTTGATTTTTTTTTCACCTCTGTAATTTATGAACACCTCTATTAATATATATATATATACACATCATTCATTGCATTGATATACACCTCTGTGCTGTATGAACTTCTGCATCTCAACGGCCGGTCAAACCATCTGCCTTTGCAGCAAGGAATATCGCCGCATCAAGCGGAAGATCGAAGCCAAGAGTCAGGCCATCCACTCCCTGAAGAAGCAGCAAGCCAACGTACCTGGGTGATTGACAGGCTGTTTTGAGGGAGTTCCCAGGACCGGGGGTTACATATATGTATACATATATATATATATATTAATATATATATATATAATATATATGCATACATATATATATATATTTATAATGTATATATATAAGATATGTGTATGAACATGTATATTGAATATATAATATATATAATATATGTATATATATATATAATATATATATATATAATGTATGTATATATATATATAATATATATAATATATATCTATAATATAATATATATATATATAATATATATAATATATATATAATATAATATAATATATATAATATATATATATATATATATATATACATGTTTCCAACCATGCTGCAACGGTGCCATTATGAAGGACCTTGTGAAGATGAGTAAGGCGCAATAGATCCCAAACGTTAGATTGTACCTCATGACTTCTAGAGTTATCTCGTGATATCTCAACTTGGATATGCATCCCAGTTAACTCATTAATCTAACTGGAGATATTCCATTAGTCTGACGGTCTGACGGGCTTTTGTATGATATGCTTATTACATGCTATTACCCACTAACACGAATCCAAGCTTTTTTCTTCACAAGTTGGTTAAATGTCACAGGTTCAGAACAACTGCCAACTTTGGTTAAGTAAATATCACAACCAGGTGCTTCAACAAAAACCTGCCCAGCCTCTAGGATGCGCGTCTGGTGACACTGGGTGTCTTCAAACAAGCCTTGATCAAAAAACATGGCAATTTGGTGCGTGGCTTCCGCATGGGCCTGGCCAACGATCAGCTGATCTTGCCCAAGACGCAGTTTCTGAACCTTGGCTTCCGATGGAATGTGAATTCATGATGAATTCAACATCATTGTCCCATGATGTTTCCATCTTTTTCCATCATTTTTCCCACTTCTTCCATCATTTTAGACATGTTTTTCCACGAGTATAAAACACCATCTTCGATGATTTTTCCATCATTTTTCGCCACCATCCGAGGAAGGCTTGCGCCGTCATGGGCTTTTCGCATGAAGCCCGAGATCTCTACAAGATGTTGGACAAGGTGGCTGGGTGAACTCCGCAACTCCTCCAATTTTGTCTCTTTTTGTGATTTTTCTTGTGGTTTACTGTAACTCACATGTTCCAGGTTGTTTTGATGTTTGTTTCATCGTTTTTCCCCATGTCTTTCATGTTTTTGTTCCAGTTTAGTTTTGTTTATTCATATGTTCATCAGATGTTCATTCTATTTTCCACTGTTTCCAACATTTTCAATAATTCTCCCACTTTGTTCCACCATGTTTCAAGTGTTTTCTACAAGCTTTCTGCCTGATTTTCCATGGTTTTTCCGTGATTTGCCCCCAGCATTTTCGCAGCAGGAGCAGTGCGGCTTTGCCTCGCTGGAAGAGCTGGATCCGCCCACAGCGGAACAATTGGCCAAGTCACGTGGCCTCGGGGTCTGGAAATTTGGGTCTATCCATATCTATCCCCAATGAAAATAGCTTGCGTCAGTTCAGGCTTGAGCCTTCTCAGACAATTCGACTGGGATTTTTGTTCCCCCATTCCTGGTTTGTTATCCCTGTTAGCAACGATCTCCGCATTCTTCTCTGCTTTTGTCATCTTTTGTCATCTTTCTCCAAATGTGTTGTGGAAAACGATTGAAGATGATGATAATCCAATATATAGAGTTGGCCATTTAATTTAATTGAAGGTAGGGAAAGTTCACATAGAAAATTCCATTCTTTACAATGTTTCATAGTTACCAATAGTTACCAACTGGTGCAGGATTTCTCTGTCCACAGTATCACCAACAGCAAGTCGAATGTTAGCCATTTACCCTCTAGAGAATTTGACATAGCTATGGAACCATGTTTAATAGCCATTTCAGGAACCTAAATTGGAGGTACCTACCATATATAAGGCCTATTTTTTAGGCCTATGTAAGGCAATATTCCCACAGAATATGACCTTACATGGTACAGTACCTCCATTTTAGGATCCTGAAATTTCCATTAATAGGTAAATAATCTATACATAGGCTATTTTCAATAGCTATGTTAAATTATTGAAGGGTAACTATGCACAATTTGAAATCGCAATTTTTGATGGGAGAATGATGATGGTTTAGGGGTCTATATTTCCAGACCCAAATCATGATTAGGATTTATGAGAGTTTAAGCACCAGGGATTTTTCATGGGATTGAATGAGATATAATATAGAAATGGAATCTATCTAGCTAGGAAATTCATGGAACTATTAAGGAGGATTTGGAGGTTTCCTTAGTCATGGGGGTACCCCTTTATCGCTGGCTGGTTTATTTCATGGAAAATCCCGGAGCAAAACTGGATGATTTCGGGGTAGCCCTATGTTTTTTCAAAGCCCAAATTATGATGATTTCCATGGCTGGGTGGTTTGGAACATTATTATTTTTCCATATATTGGGAATAGTAACCCCAACTGACTTTCATATTTTTCAGAGGGCTAGGTATACCACCAACCAGCTGGATATTTATGGTAATTGAATCACCAGCTGGATATTTAGGGTTGACGAGTTTGACCATCAAAAATTGACCAATTGACCTTGGTTGATAGGTCTTGAAATAGAGATAGGTCTGCTACCAGGTTTCTACCTGGCTTCATGGGGACATGGGGATTATGAACCAAGCCATAGTGGGGATGCCTAGGGATACCTGGCAACCAACTATAGTTAATGGCAATCATATCAATTATTAGACCCCTTCCTTGAAGATGATGATAATCCAATATATATAGTTGGCCATTTAATTTAATTGATATGATACCTAGCCATTGATATAGTGAGATGGGATTGAGATGATGGGATTGTGAGAACCTATTGATGGGTTTATGGCCTATGAAATCTATGAAAGATGGAAAAGATGGATGGGAATATGAGCCTAATAACCAATGTTGATGGGTTTAAACTTGATTTCACGGGGATTATGAACTAACGCCTAGGAATGGAAAACCAATCAACCAACTAGTAGATGCTGGGATTTATGGATATATATATATAACCGCCAATCGATTTATAGAGATCTAGATTTATACTTTTATATGGATATTAATTGAAGATCTGAGTTTGTTCAAAAAGACTATTAGTAAATTAATTCCGTTACGAGTAACAATCAATGTATTAATGGACATTTTTTTCTTATGAGTACGTATATAGATTGATAAATATAGCACTTAAAAGCCATATATATATATATATAAACTGCCATTATAATTATCAGTAATATTTATGAGTACAATGTATATAGTAGTAATACTCAATGGTTTTTAGCAATCATATCAATTCAACTATAGTTGTTAACAATCAATGGCTTTTACAGGTATATAGAAGGGGTCTAATAAGTCTAATAACCATAAATAGATATAGTCAAGTATACTCAATACTATTCCCCCCTACATGGTGTTGTTTAAGGTGTTTTTTTACTTTCCCGAGAAGAAGCTCACTACTTGGGGAATCCATATGAATGGGATGATCATGGATGATTTTAATGGGTACATTGGGTGAATAGTTACTACTATTGGGTTAATATATGAAGTTAATCAATGTTGATCATTTATTAAGTGTTTTTCATTAATATGGTTATTACAAAAAAGGTGACTAGTTCGAGTTTGGTGTAGCAACCTTTTTACGTCGTCGAGGTTCAAGAAGTTCCTGGAATCGAACTTCGGTGGCGCCTGTCGCAATGCCTTCAATCTCGAGGGCGACAGGCGCGAGCGGCCCGAAGAGTTCCATCTTGAATTTTGAGGGCTGTACCCGACCTGGTAAACATACAAAAGGCGAACTGGAAAATCACCATTTTGTATGGGTAGATCCACGAACTAAATCGCCATTTTCAATAGCTATGTCAGTTATTACCAGAGGGTAGATGCCCTTTAGTTTTAGCTAATGCTGTGGAAAATCCACCATGAGTCTAGGTCATTTCCAAACGGGAAACAACCATGGGATTTCCATCACTATGTTAGTTTACCAGAGGCTATCTGTTTTTTTCCTTATTTTCACTGCTTATTTGATGAGGAAAACCAAAAAGTGGCAATTACCATTTTTTTTCACAACCTAGAAGGATGTGATGGTACAGTAAATAGTTTTCCAGGTTTGTTGGCATCCCAGTATGTATCTAATTTTGAGGTACAGACAATTGTCATTGAGAACCACTCTTGGAGAAAAAATGACATACATATCACAAAATGAAATGCTGGAATACCTTCCCATGTCAGTGTGATGGACAAGAGAAGACTGAGTTTAAGTGGTACTTTTTCAGCAGGACCACTCACCAAAAAGGAAGTCGTAAAGGCAGACACACCAAACATCCAAACCACGCGGTAGAGTCCTGATCAGTTTCCTACAGACAGTGTCCGTAGGCAGATAGATGGCGAGAAGAAAACACAGTGATGAAAACAACTATATCTATGAATATCACATACATATATATATATAGGTATTCTATGATATTCTTAGGTCATCGCACATCTATACATGCAACCTTCTGCAACCTTGCTGACTTGGTTGGTAACCACCAGCCTGAGGTTCATCCATGCTGATCCCTTAGGTCACCAACTAGGTCCTTAACATTAACCCATCCTCAACTCGTGATAGAAAATCACTGTGTTTTGTATTAGTTAATAGAAAAAACCATGGAAACATTAACCCATCCTTAACATTGACCCATGTTGATGATTCAAAGCCATGTAGAACATAAAGCCCATGTAGAAAAAAACACATGTCTCATTTGGCTACATCCCACATAATCTTAGTGCTGAATTCCTATTCAATCAGACCGCACTTTGGTCAATCTCCACGGATGACGTCAACGGCAGGAAAATGGCTTTCCCTCAGTTTGAGAGCGAGGTGAAACAGTGGGGCTACCATGGGAACATCAAGAAGATCTTCCAATACTTAGATAGACACTTGGCGACTTAGCCTGTTTTTCTCTATCAAGGTCTTTTGCTACACTTGGTGTGTGTTAACCACCTGATTAACCGTTGATATTCTAGACTAACTTAACTTGACATGGGAACCCTTAACAACCTTAACTTATCTTCCAATACTTGGGGACAAAACACTTGGTTGCTCCTATGAAAAGCTGGGTGATATGGTTGGTCGATGTTTTTTTCTCTCTCTTGCATACATGAAGGAAGCTCCTTGATTCATCTTTTAGTTTTGATTGTTGGTTCCTCTCCAATTTTTTAGTTCAACGAACTAATTGACCTAGTTTGGACCACTGGATGCACATTAAAATTCTTTGCAACAACCCGTGCTGTGGTCGTTGGTTTTTAGAATGATTTCCCAGCGAAAACATCCAATTGGAACGCATGGTTCAAGTTTTGGAGTGATTGTGGTTCATTATTAAAGGCTGTGCCACATGATAATATATAGTCTAAATTGGCAGCTTGGGAAATCCTCATTGTCACCATGTAAACCATCCACATGTATGTTTGTTTGTTAATAGGTTGTATGATCCCCAAAACCCAGAAGATGTTCCCCACGGTTCATCAATGACGCAGAAGGCACATTCGCCGACTGCACATCTTACCACTTAAAACTCTTGAGAAATCACCTTCTTGATTAGATATATCCCCAAAAAAGATGCTTGGTTTTATACCTTCATTACCTTCATTTCATCTCCATCTTCCATCATAGTTGCCCTCTGGTAAATAAACATAGACCCTGAAAATGACCTAGTTATAGTGGAAACTAGTCTTCCAACCCCGATGACTGCCAGGGTCTATGTTACTTTACCAGAGGGTACCTGCTACATCCCATTTGGACTCGGTTAAGGAGACGGCCGGAAGACCCTGGAGGACAGCGACCTGCGATTTCTGGACAAGTGGACGCCATCGCCCTACTTCTTGGTCGAGGCCAACCACGTGGCCAAGGAGGAGGTCGGAATCCGCCTGTGGGAGTCAACGGAGATGTTTCAGTAATTTAAAAAGAGGATTAAGATAATATGATATAATATGATGGTTTATGTAACTATAAATGGTTTATGATAATTTTTGAAAAGTGAATGATAATGTAAATGCTTAATGAAACTAAACAGCTACTAAATAGCCAGATTCAAATGGTTTATGCTTAGATAATCTTAGTAAGTTTCCAGTATTTTTAAGGGGGTCAACATAAATCGTCACAGACATCACTGGGGCGCCACTATCTCGCAACCTTTCGGGATTTGGCGAAGTTGATGGATATTTCACTAGACCAACTAGCTTTGGTTTATGGTAAATATATGTGAAACATCTACCATCTGGTTATTTGTTACATAGCCATGGAAAATCCCAACCATAAATGGAGGTTTAGTTCGCTGGGAAAATCATCTATTTCGATTAGGGCCATGGCTTCCCAGCGGGTATGTTAGTCATAACCAGCGGGTATATGCAATAGAGTCCAGCCGCATTTTTTTGGTGGGCACCACATTGTAGGCAGTATGGCATACGCCCATTGTCGTGGTCACGATCATCCCAAGGTCCACCAAGCATTTCCCAGGATTGATTTAGGCGAATTCGGAAGACCATCAACATACGGCATACGGCATACACACTAAGGGCGTTCCTGTCATAAAACCACGATTCCACGATTTAATTACTGTAATCCATGAAATATCATGAAGTCCAATTTTTTTTACCAACATTCAAATCATATTGAGCCAGCATTAAAATCCCATGTCCCTTTTTTATCCATCGACAAGTCTCATATCAAGCCCACCAAACAGTTTATTTTTAAAGGGATGGTTTGTGGCGGTAATCTCTTCACCATCGTTGGAGCATCTCAGGAATCGTAGCTGATACCATCTGGTTATTTGTTACATAGCCATGGAAAATCACCATTTTTAATAGGTAAACCCAGGTAAACCATCTATTTCTATGGGCCATCTATACCATAGCTATGTTAAATAACCAGAGGGTAAATGATCCATGCATTATTGGGATATCTCGAAGATATCTGGATTATAATATGCTGACTACCCACTTAGTAACTTGGATTCCACATCCAAAATATGAGTTGAATGACTGGCTTGGAGCTATTTGGGGGCGCCCGATCTTGCGGGACATAGCAACCTTGAGGTTGTATTCTATGTTTAAGTATATTTACCTACATTTCAACATTTAGGTCATTTACCCTATGGTAAATAAACATAGACCCTGAAAATCACCAATTTTTAATGGAAACTAGTCTTCCAACCCCTAGCTGCCAGGGTCTATGTTAATTTACCAAAGGGTAGGTCATGTTTATTCATTTTTGGTGAAGATGCATGGAGTGCATCCTATTTCTGCCAAAGCAGTGGAATGGTTCTACGGTTCGCACATCCCTGGTGGTCCAGACCACGGCAACTGGTTAGTTTGGATGGCCCCACAAGGTGTGAAACACCCACAAAATCTCCATTGAACTCAGAAAGACTCTAGTTAGCTTAGCCTCTGAATAATTCTAGATGATTTGTAGCGCCCAAAGTGGATTTGTTGAAGCATCAAGTTGCTCTTTCCAATACCTATGCTTTGGGTTTTTCCCATGTTTACCGGATGGAGCATCACTGATATCCCTGTCACCGACAGGTCAAAGAGCTCTTAAACCAGAAGTACAACGGTCGCTGGGCGCAATGGGCTGATGACAAGCAGAGTTTTCTCTGAACATGGGGATTTATCCAGCAATTCATAGACTGCTAAGGGGGAAATGTGTTTCATGTGTGTATATATATATATAAGATTATTGTATATTGGTGTATGTAAACCAAAAAGACTTTGTCAGCAATGGGGTTTTGAGACACATAATCACTTGGGATTTGCCTATGAATCTAATATATATATATATACATACGTACATATGTATAGTACCCCACAAGTTAGAAAGTCGATACCAAAATATTGGTAAAGTTCACTCTTACCGTCTTTTTGCTTGTCCGCATCTTTTTGGGTGGTACTGTAGACAGTGCATGTAAGGGGGTTGACAATGCATGTTTCTTAAAAGATGTCATGCGTGATATGTTGTGTGACGGTTCTGAGCCCGCATCTTTCCTGAGAGTATCGGGTCTCAACAGGGGTCTCAACCGAGAGAAATAGCATTTGAACCAACAAAAACAGTGATGATATGGAACTACTAGGATATTGCATGCCATTGATGTGGGCACACAGGGAAAAACACCTAAGAAATGATTGGACAAAATTTTATTGCGATGCATAAGTAGTTTTTTCAGTTTAGTTTTTCTTTGTTTTTTTTCTACCAGGCTTTTCTACCAGGGATTCCATCGCAGAATTTCTCCCAAACAGCACCCGGGGACCCGCAGAAAACCAGGCCACTTTATGAAAGCTTGGAGACATCTGCTGGATAAGGATGGAGCCTCTGGCGTCGGAAATCACCGAACAAGCCATGGAGGTTTCAATATGTTCAATGTGACAATCAGACCTACCATCTGGTTATTTGTTACAGTTCGCCATGGAAAGATTCACCATGCTATTAAAAACGGTAAACCCATCTATTTCAATGGACCATTTTCCATGGCTATGTGAAATAACCAGAGGGTATATATATATATGTATATGTACTGTATATAGAATTGATATTTTTCCATTGCCACGTTTGATGACCGGATGGTATTTTTGATTGATATATAACAGGGATATACTGGGGACATCATGAAATCACGGATCAAGGCAACAACCAACAGTGATGCTTCAGCCTACCAAAAGGGTGAAATTGGCCAGTTGACATTTTTTTTTTGAGCCAATTTGAACCCCCAAAGAACTGACAACTGGTTGGTGGATTGGAACATTTTTTTATTTTCCATAATATATGGGATAATCCTTCCCATTGACTTTCATATTTTTCAAGATGGTTAAAACCACCAACCAGACAACCTTGCGAACCGTTCGATGAATCATCTCAATGAATTCCCCTATTCGGCAAAATCATCCTCTGTTCCAGCTTATGGCACCATTTTTCCGGGCTCACCACTGCATGGCAACCTTCAACCCCATCATATCTCCAGTTACCATCCAGTAAAGTAACATAGTAACATAGCTATGTTTCACATCCCCATTCTCAAGAGCTAAATTTTAATCACTTATCATTTACCTACTGATACCTAATGATACCTAATAGTACCATTATCAAGAGGGATAGAGGCATTATTAGTACTGATTAACCATATTGTCCATTATCAGTACTATATTAGTACCATAATCATTACTATATTGTCCATTAGTAGATATCATCATTGGACCAACATGGCTTCCATAGCACAGCCATAACCGGATAACCAGAGCCGCTACTCAATCCATAGATTTGACCCTTTGACCCCCCGTTTTCTCATATGACTCATGAGATGTCGTTGATGTCGTTGTATATCTAATTATATAAGGTATCTACAGATTTATATAAGACATAAGATAGAATATAAGGTATAAAATACATAATTATACAATATATTGTATAATATATCTACAAATTTACCATATACATTTTATATCTGTATACATCATATAATAGGATATCATAATGAAATCTACTAGCGGTTCTTTCACTCCAACATCCATCATTTTGTTGAATCACCATGTTTCTGGTCGTAAAAAAAAAAAAAACATTTCTGGTCATTAAAAAACAACACATTGGCCATTGTACTTACCATCTGGTTATTTAACATAGCCATGGAAAATCACCATGCTATTAATAGGTAAACCATCTATTTCAATGGACCATTTTCATGCATTTTCCATGGCTATGTTAAACAACACATTGGTGTGGTAAAATATGTGCAGCAAGGTGACAGTAAAACACATCTGGTGGATCCAGAGGTGGAAATGGCGGAGACGCAGACGAGAAGTTGAGAAGTTGAGAGTTGGATTCCCCCGATGGAATCCTCTGAGCCAATTTGCCATATATAAACAACATCATGCTTGTATACGCAGATCCAGAAAAGGTTCTAAGTACAAGGTCCAGTGGTTCTATCTCGTGGGTGGCGAAGGCATTCTAACTATCGATTTTCTGATTCTAACTCGTGTGGTCGGATTTTCACCAACTTTTCCAAAACGTGGTTCTAACCTTGTGTCCGCAACTATATATATTTTTTTCAACAGAGAACGCACATTTTCCACTTTTCCAGCAGCAGCAACCATTTTTCAAACTGAACATTACAGGTTGTGCAGCGACAAGCAACATTTTTCCAGCAACAATTACAGAGGTGTCTAGCACAAGACATGTTTTTTTGTTCCTAGTAAATGTTTTTTTATTTTATTTTTATTTTATTTTCCCTAGTAAAATCACATGTATTTCTCAGTTAAGGAACCTTGTTTTAGAGAAACCACATTTTTATGTTTTTTTACTGACAACAAGTACCAAATTTCTGCCCATGTCATATATATATATATGAATTATCCAATTCCGTTATCATCATCCTCATGAATTTCTCATGACATCACCAAACTTCCCAACTATCTTATCATAATATAAATATACATATCTCATCCCATTCTCCCATGATCATCCCATAATCCCCATTATATAAATCCTCCCATGATTTTCTAACCATCATGATATTGCTATGATTTTTTTTCATGTTTATCATTTCATTATTCCATGGAAGATCATCCCATGATCATCCCATGATCATCATTACATCCTATGATCATCCATGAAGTTTGGTTATGAGCAACCGTGGGATGATAATGGATTTTTGTTGGGTGATGATGGTTATAATCATTATGACGTCACCAATATTCGTTCATCACCAAACTTCCCAAACTTTCATTGATATTATAATTACCCAACCTGGTAAACTAACAGTTTGCTATTGAAAATGGCCATAGAAATAGTGAATTTTCCCATTAATAGCATGGTGGATCTTTCCAGTTCGCTATTTTGACATAACCAGAGGGTACCCAACCTGGTGATGACTAACACTTCGCCATGGCCCTAATCGAAATAGATGGGCTTTACCTGGCTTCAGCGAACTAAAAAATGGTGGATTTCCATGCTCATCCCACGTCATCCACATCTTTTCATATCACCATTATATATATAATAAATATATTCCCATATAGTTGCCCATATATATATATATTATAATAATATAAATATGTATATATATATACATAATAATATAATCCCATATATTTTCAAATCATCCCATATATATATATATACACTGGCTGGTGGTTTGGAACATGTTTTATTTTCCATTTCATATATGGGATGTCATCCTTCCCATTGACGAACTCATATTTTTCAAGATGGTTAAAGCCACCAACCAGTATATAATCGCGTTAATATTATATATAATCTCATTTACCATGTTCATCACCGTTCGTTGCGTCGCCCAGGAAGCAACCGCGTGACCTGGTCCGAGTTCCAGTCGGCCTGTCACAAGCTGCGCTACACGGGGGACGTGGCGGGCGCCTGGCGCGCCTTCGACGCGGATCTCTCTGGCTATCTGACGCTGAATGAGGTGGACACCGAAGCCAGTGATGCTGGGAAGAATAGGAAAACCATCTATAAGAAAACCAGAAAAAAAGACATGGGAAACTATAGGAAAACCATAGGAAAACCATAGGAACATCATAGGAAAACCATGGGAACATGGTGATTTTTGTTCAGGAAACATGGTGACTTCATGGTGGCAGGGCTGATTTAAGAGTGATTTATTCGGGATTTATGGGGATATAATGAGGTTTCATAGTGATTAAAAATAACCTGGTTAATTGGTTATAGCTAGTGATAGCTACGTTGACAGAAATTAAATTGGTGAACATTTGGGTTTATGGGGGATAGGTGTAAATACGTATACCCTCTGGTAATTTAACATAGCTATGGAAAATCACAATGCTATTAATGGGTAAATCCACTATTTCTATGGTCATTTTCAATAGCTCTGTTAGTTTACCAGGCCATCCTATTAAAGATATCCCCGTTGGTGATGAATTTTTGATTCATCCCATGAGTCACTTTTTTCAAAGGCCCCACATTTGTTTGTTGGTTAAAACACAACTTTCATCACAAGTTTCATGGTTCAACAAGGTGAAAAAATCCCACTAGTCCTAGGCTAAAAAAACATATCGTTGAAGAAATGGTCATCTCATTCTTACTGGTATATAGTCAATGGTAATTTCAGGATCCTAAAATGGAGGTACTGTACCATGTAAGGTCATATTTTGTGGGAATATTGCCTTACATAGGCCTAAAAAATAGGCCTTATATATGGTAGGTACCTCCAATCAATCGGTTCCTGAAAATTGATATAGTGTATGAAATGGTGAACATTATGCTACCATGTTGTTGGTTGACATTTCTTCATCCCATGATTTACCTGCCTAGTGCCATAGAGTTTCACTTGGGCCATGTGTAAACAAGCGCCAGTACAAGATGGTGCCGCCCCAGCTATAAGTTGGTCTACAAGCCCCATTAAAAAACTATAGGTGTATGTATCATAAACACTAGTTATTGGACTTATAAAAAGACTTAGCTCATGATGGGAAAAATTAAGCACCAGCGTGTTTTTGAACCATATGGAAAAAGAATCACGGCTTAGCAGCTTCCATCTACAGGATAAACCACCAGAAATATGCTTGGAAAAAACCTGCCATCTTTTTTACTGGTATAATACAAGAAACAATGGTTCTTACCGTCCAGATGTTTCTTTTCTCCCCAGAGTTCTATTTTTCTTGACAAAGCACATACATACTACATAGCTATGGAACATGATGCATCTATTGACCTCACATGGTGATCTCCCATAGCCAACTGTTCTACAGGGTAAAGCAATTCGACTTGTGGAAGTCATTAAGGACACCCTCTGCGAGTACAAGGGCTGGGCTTGGGAGGAGTTTGGCACAGTAAGGTGCCGTCTGAGGTCTGGGCACATAGAGGTTTTCTAAGTCATGGGGTACCCTCAAGTCATCCATTTTCATGGAATTTTCTAATATGGGTATGGATCAATACCTATTAATACCATTTTTAATGGGATGAACATCCATTTACCAGCTATTTTGATGTTCACCAGGGGTACAAGGTTTTGACACACTGCCATATAAACTCATCCATTTGGGGGTACCCCCATTTATGGAAACTTCCACATGTCTGAAAGTATCGGATAAATTGGAAGATTCGAAAGGACGTTGGATGGGAATTTAACGATTTATCTTCGCTTTCCAAGGTCCTAAGGTTGGGAACAATGGGGAACATTCAACAAGAAATATGGGAACAGCATGGGAATATCATGGGATTTAACTGATATCACCAACCATTCTGGGAAACTGGATGAGTAAGAATTTAAGCGGCAAAACCATTGGGTTCAAGCAAGAAGAAATATGGGGAATTAACGTGAACTACTCATAAAAGATGCGGGTAAAGCTTGGATAGATAGTTGGAGTAATATTTGGTTGATGTGGCATATGCAGTACTTTCTGGTGTATCCAGCAGAAGTGGGTATAATCAGCTAAAATTCAAGTACAGCCATGCAGCCAATCATGTAGCCAATGTAGCCAATCATGTCAGGGATATGAGCCATTTTGTTGGGCCACAATATATCAGCCCATGGTTTAGTGGTGATTCCTAGTGATACCCAGTTCCTATCGGGGTTCCAATTCCGAACCGCTGGGCCACAACCACTGCGAATCATGATTGAATCAATTTTGTGTTAGATTTTGCGGACCCAATTCTTCAGTATAGTTCCAGTATCTTCCCATCATGTTCCATCTCAACAGTAATGTGAATAACAATAAACCATCCCCGCACCATAAATGCGTAGTATAAAACATCAACATTCTAATGTAACATTCAAGGTACTTGGGTCCAATTTCCATCTAATTTCTTCCCACATATTTCAGACATCCAGAATATACTACTGGTTGGTGGTTCCAAACATGAATTTTATTTTCCATTTCATATATGGGATGTCATCATTCCCATTGACGAACTCCATCATTTTTTAGAGGGGTAGGTATACCACCAACCAGTTAGGGTTGAACCCCCCAATCAGATGACATTTCATGGAAGAAAAGCCATTGTTTCTGGTGAAGATTTTCCCATCCAATGACTCACCAGACTACTCGGTTTTATGGCATTGCTTTACTACAGGATGGGGCCCCCAAGATAGCTAAAATGCCTTATAAGTGGCTGAATTCTATGGTTTATGGATGTTTATGGTATACATATATATATATACATACATATATATATATATACATACATATATATATATAACTATAGTGAATGGGGTCTATAAACCAACAAACATCACTGGGGGGCACCATCCTGTAATGCTGTGGCCTGGTTTTCCAGGGCGGCCTTTGGTGTCTTCGATCATGACAACTCCAACAGCCGGACGCCAAGTGGGTGGCGCTTAGATTTTTTCTCCGATGTCCGTGGGACAAAACAGAGAACTTCCGTGGGGCTTCTTGGGCACAACCAAAAAACATGCAGACTCTGCTACAATCCTATAAAAAGGGTAGTAAAATTGAACTTTGTCCATCTTTTCTTGTTTCTTTTAAAGATCTTCCCATGCACAAACCCACTGAATAATTGGTTGCACCCTTTGCAGAGGCTATTGGTGAAGAGCATCAGATGTCCTGGTTACATAGGGGGTGATGTGTCCTACGTTTGTTGCAGAAGCCTTCAGCCTCGAAATATCATAGTCAAAAAGGAAAGGAGGGTTCTAGATTTTGAAGAGAAATCAAGGCCTAAAAGAAAGGACAACAGTGATTCATTTCAGGTACGTGTTTCATTAAAACCTTCCCCAGAAACGTCGTTTCTTCCTTTTTAGGGAGTTGCTGTACTTTCCATATTCCTCCATTTTCAAAATGGTGTTTGTTGTTTAAGTTTGCTGAAAAATCCACCAAAAAATCCATAGATGTCCTGTTACCACCCCGCGTCTCCGAGGCCTCTCCTTCGAAGAGTTCCGCAGCAACTGTCGCATCTACGGCTACGAGGGCAACGCCAAGAAACTCTTCGATGCCTTGGACATCAACGGGGAGAAGACGCTGTCCATGAGCCACTTGTGATCGGCGTTTAAAATAGCTGGCTGAATAGCTGGCTGAAGGTTAGGGAAAAAATATGGGAATATTAGATGCATGTACTATGAACCAATATAATATATATATATATATATTATACGTAGTAATCATAATGATACACCAATAATAGTGATAGCATAGTAATAACAATAAGAATAGTACTGACAATAATAATATTAATACTGCTAATGACAATAATAGTGAGAATCATGATGATAAGAAACGTAATGACAATATAAATGTATATACATAAAATTGTAAATGTATATACATAAAATTATATATATATATAATCTATAGAAAAATAGTATGAGTATCATGATTATCATATGAATTTAACATACGAACATATATGTATGTATATGGCTGCTAATATGGCTGGGTATATAATTTATTTGGATTAAGCCACTTGGGAAGTCGGCGCAAAGGGGCCATGGGAAGTTCTAACGGAGACGAGCCTCTGGAGCCTTTGGAAATTCTAACGTCGTGAACTGGAAAATCACCATTTCCAATACCGGATCCATGTATGGAATATTTACCTACATTGGGATTATTTTAAATTACTTTAGGGGTCAATGTAGGTAAATATTCCATACATGGATCCTCTGGGATAGGTGAATTACAACTGGGCCTATTTTAGATGTGAAAACAAATGGTAACGTTTTGAAAATTGTAATTTCTAATGGTTATCCATCGTCAAATTATACCAATGAATAAGAGTTCATCATTTTTATCATCTACAACTGGGCCTTTTTCCACGATGTTAAAACAACCCGAGGGTAACGGGATATATAAGCAACAACCTGAGTTCTAATGGTGAAAATATGATGAACATATGATGCTTAAGCAATGGCATGTCTTTTTGGTTCTCTATTTCAGGTGTGTCCCCATATGATATATGGAGGTTTCCTTTAATTAAGGGGGTATCCCGTACCATCCTCCATTAAAGAAGGCATGATATAAATATGATGTTCCATGAAATCAACCATCCAGCCATGAAATCAACCCCCATGGAAACTGGAAACCTCGATGTCGAGGAAGCGATCAAATTCAACTGGATCCAACTGGGAAGATAAAACCCTACCCGGTAGGCCCAACCTGGTTATGACATTCACAGTTCGCCATGGTTTTTCGATGGTCCTAATCGAAATAGTGGATTTACCAATTGAAAATGGTGGATCTTTCCATAGTTATGTTAGCCCGTTTACCAGAGGGTAACTACATAGTTCAACTACCCACCCAATCGAAACCGTGATGGTTTACCGTTGTTTTTTTCGCATGGTGGATCTTTCCATGGCGAAGTGTAACAGTCATAACCAGATGGTAGATCCAAATGGATTGGACTGAAAAACATAGTTAAACTTAAACATTGGTCTAGTATTCAGGCAGATTTTTGTTAAATTACATATTTTCATGGAATTGGATGATGGGAAACTTTGCAGGAAAACTCTATATTTGATGGTAAAAACAATGGCTTCCTGTAGATTTTCCCTTAAACCAATCCATTGATATGTGTGAAACATCTTGTGGGATGAAGGTCCACAACTGCCTAGGGCTGAGGATTTTTCTTCACCATGACCCAAGTCTGAAAAGATCTAGATGCACCACCAGTGATGGCGATGTGTTTTTGTAGAAAGCACCATGAATACTACATTTATACCTAGCATAAAGTATAGTCATCGTTAATTGCATGGGGGTTCGTTAACTATATTTATCTAGTTATATAAACTATATAGGAAATACTATATTATTGATATTATATTGATATCTAGCATCAAAATGCATAAACCATAGAATTCACCTGATTATTTGCACCAGCTTAGTTGTCGCAGACGGGTCCCACCTTGTGCCTATGCCACGACTAATAATTCTGGCTTTCTGAGGTGAGATTGCATTCCTGGATGATTGGGATATGGGACAGAGTCAGGAGCGAAGGTGGAACATGTTCCAATGGTTGGAGCATATTATTCTGTTGCAACTGGTGCTGGACCTATAGGAACTGTTTTTTTTGTTTTTTTTACTCAGCCCTTTTCATGTTGTGCTGTCCCAGTTGACAACCCCACCTAGAGATGGACATTCCAATTTATAGTTGATTTTTCCAGTGTTTTCGGATTCAACACGGGGGGTTCCTACACAAGTTAGATTGCTAGAGGGTTCCTTGATGCTCTATGCCCCTGCCCTAGAGTCTCCACCATGGTAGTGTCAAGCAGGGTTAGTTGCACAGACATTTACACGTTGCGTCCGACCCCAACTGGACATGAATCGTTCATATTACCCCTCCATTTTTAGTGGATAAAACTCTACCCTCTGGTTATGACTAACAGTTCGCCATGGTATAGATGACCCTGGGTACGCGCCTCGCATTTGACCCTACCCCAATGGTTTCGCATATGACCCTACCCCCCTTTTGGGGTAGGGTCGAATGTGAGAAAGTAGCGTTTTTAGCTGCGAAAAGAGGGTTCCGGATATGATGATGATGATGATGATGATGATGATGACGATGATGACGATGGACAATCATGATGATAGTGATGATGATGATGATGATGATGATGATCATGATCATGATCATGATCATGATCATGATCATGATGACGGTGATGATAGTGATGATGATGATGATGATGATGATGATGACAATGAATGTAATTGTTCAAGGGGGGCTGGTTGATTTGATAGCAATGAATGTAATGGTTCAAGGGGGGCTGGTTGATTTGATACCAATGAATGTAATTGTGCCAGGGGGGCTGGTTGATTTGATACCAATGAATGTAATTATTCAAGGGGGGCTGGTTGATTTGATAGCAATGAATGTAATTGTTCAAGGGGGGCTGGTTGATTTGATACCAATGAATGTAATGGTTCAAGGGGGGCTGGTTGATTTGATGCCAATGAATGTATTGTTCAAGGGGGGCTGGTTGATTTGATAGCAATGAATGTAATTGTTCAAGGGGGGCTGGTTGATTTGATAGCAATGAATGTAATTGTTCAAGGGGGGCTGGTTGATTTGATAGCAATGAATGTAATTGTTCAAGGGGGGCTGGTTGATTTGATAGCAATGAATGTAATTGTTCAAGGGGGGCTGGTTGATTTGATACCAATGAATGTAATTGTTCAAGGGGGGCTGGTTGATTTGATACCAATGAATGTAATTGTTCAAGGGGGGCTGGTTGATTTGATACCAATGAATGTAATGGTTCAAGGGGGGCTGTGATTTGATAGCAATGAATGTAATTGTTCAAGGGGGGCTGGTTGATTTGATACCTGGCTTGATTTGATAGCAATGAATGTAATTGTTGTTGATTTGATCAATGAATGTAATTGTTCAAGGGGGGCTGGTTGATTTGATAGCAATGAATGTAATGTTCAAGGGGGGCTGGTTGATTTGATACCAATGAATGTAATGGTTCAAGGGGGGCTGGTTGATTTGATACCAATGAATGTAGTTGTGCAAGGGGGGCTGGTTGATTTGATAGCAATGAATGTAATTTTTCTGGTTTGAGGCAGGTTAAAGTGGGGTAGGGTCAAATGTGAACCGGAAAAAGTGGCCTTTTTGCCTGGAAGGGTTGCGTATTTTTGTTAGGGTAGGGTCGAATGTGAGGCTGCATGACGTTATTTTGGGGTAGGGTCGAATGTGAGGCTGCGGTAGGGTCGAATGTGAGGTCCGTACCCCCGAATCGAAATAGATGGTTTACCGTTCTTAATGGCATGGTGGATCTTTCCATGGCGAACTGTCAGTAAGTCATAACCAGATGTTGTACATGGACAGCGTCCGGATTTGGAATAAATTCAAGCTTTGGAGCCTCGCCCTGAGGGAAGGAGCAAGGATGACAAGAGGAAAAGTCACATTCGTCAGATGAACGACGCTCACCGGAACATCGGAGCCCCGAAGATGGCTCCGAACAATGCGAAAAGTGTTTTTTTTATGTGAAAAAAGATAGGGAGTTCACAGGAGTTAACCAAAAAAAGGGGTTAACCAAAAATAGGGAATTAAGCAACAACGCACTGGTATTTCACGTTTTAAATGATAAAGCAGTGGATGGAATGGTTGTTTTTCCATAAATTTGCAGGTACCAACCCCAGTTCCAGAAACCTCCTGGCGGGCACGGCTTTGGTAGTTGGATGTGCATCTTTCAAGGCTGCAGGACGCATGAGAATTTGCAAATCCGACGCATGAGAATTGGTGATAGTGAACCGACATAATTGGCGGGTCCCCGCGTCATTTCTTTTTTTTTAATAAACATGTATATGTATACATATAGTGATGTTTTTTCATTTTATACGGTGTAAAATAATCTTGTGTTATTATATTTATTATTTCCTTTAGTGCATATCAACCATTTTCTAAAACATCGTTTCATGTCATATGATGGTATTCTATGTTATATTAGATATACATATAATATTGATATGCATAATATATATATATACATACATACACTATATATATATACACTATATATATATATACACTATATATATATATACACTATATATATATATACACCTATCTATATGCTCACCCCCTAGACCATATATATCTACAAGGATTCACCATGAACAACCGCCCCACTGGCCTTGCGGTTCGCTTTTCGAGGAATCGCTGAAGCGACAGCAGCAGATCTCGCACAGCGCGGGGCGACCCACGCGGGGGCCCATGGACCTGGCACAGCTCAAATCCATTAGCACCATCAAGGAGATCCATGGGGGAAAATCCATAGGAAAACCCATAGGAAAATGGGGAAAGCCATGGAGAAATGATGGGGAAATGATGGGAAAATAGCTGGCTGGTCAATACCAATAGCTATGGTTGTTATGGAAAATACTTGAGGATAGAACTGATACATCAAGGAGAAGGGGGGCATCCATGGGGACATGATGGAATCATGGTAAAATTATTGATAAATGACTGGATCATCATGGTAAAATCATCTGCACATATGATAAATCAAGGAGAACGGACCATGGCACATCATGCTGAAAAAATAGGGGATATTGATATCGCCAAGAATATGGTGTGTATACGCGTTAGTATTAGCATGATATACCAATGTACCAACTACAGGATAGTGCCTCCCAGGTTATAAGTTGGTTTATAAACCCCATTAACTAATATTAACTACAGTTATATCTATATATATATATAAATCTATATATATATTATATCCACCATAAACCATAGTTGAGCTGGTTATAAACCAATTGAACACTATCGACTGAGGGCCCAATCCTGTATGGTTTGGTCTGCCAAGTTCCTGGGATGTTTCGAGGCATCGAGCCATCTGAAGTGCAGATAAAGCCCTAGAAACCAGTTGTTTGACAGGTATTTTATGGTTATAAATGGGGTCACAATGAACCATATATATATATATATATATATGCATATATCGATAAATGGGGTTATGATAACTGACTCATATTCCTGGTATGAAACGGGGACATCAGTTTTTTGAAAGTGAACTGGATCCACTTGAACCACACTGTCCGCACGGTCCCGTGTTCTGTGCTGTGCCAGGAGAACGTCGTGAGCGAAAATGAAACGGATCGATCCCAAAAGGTGCCGCCTGAGTTGAGCCGCTGACTGATATGAAAAGATGATGGTGGCACAAGATCATCCCCAAATGGGTTTGTGAAGTGATTTGTGAACTAGTTAAAATACGTTAAAATGTTGATTTGCTGGAGTTTAAGTGGATTGTGGGATTGTGGGGACCCATTGATACCTGGGCTTGTACAAGAAAGTTTCTTTTTTTGATTCCAGCTACTTCCTACAGCACACCCTCCAGTAGTCAAGCATGCCAGTAGAAAAGCCGTCGGAAATCAATTAAGATTTCATGTTTGAATGATGTCCAAAGACTTTCCTCTTTTCAAGTCGGGCCTTCCAGGGCTTGCTAAAGTGCGGAAGAGTACCCTGAATCAGCATCAGCATCAGCATCAGCATCATCATCATCATCATCAGCATCAGCATCAGCATCAGCACCATCACCATCACCATCACCACCACCATCACCACCACCATCATCATCATCATCAGCATCATCAGCATCATCAGCACCATCAGCATCATCAGCATCATCAGCACCATCAGCATCATCAGCGTCATCAGCGTCATCAGCGTCATCAGCGTCAGCATCGTCCATCATCATCCGTCATCATCCGTCATCAGTTGCCATCATACACCATTATCCGTCATCATACATCATCATACATCCCGCATCATACACCCGCGAGGGGACCAAAGGTAACCTCTCCAGACTTGAGGGGACTTAATATGCCCTGGATAAGTTGTTTTTTATTTATCATCAACTAGTTATACGTATCGTCATTTATAATTTCAGATGCCCTGAATATGGTACAAAATGATATTATCTCAGCAAATTCTCAGAACAACATGACCTCAAACAAGCACAAGGAAAATCTTAAGGCTACTATAAAAGCCATGAGTTAAATCCTGGCTACCCTTTAAAGCAATGTGCAAGAAAAACATCATCAGTTCTTGGGATGTTCCTCTTGGATATCGGAAACTGTTGAGAAAAAACCTTAAAAAAAACAAGATCCAATAGTTTCACTGGGAATGTCATGGGGATATAAAAGCATGATTTCATGGGATTTAATGGAGATTTAATGGAGATTTTATGGGATATATAACCCGCCGAGTGAATCCAAATGATACTTGGGTCGCTATGAAAAAGTACCTACCGAGTCGATGAGAAGGTTCTCAACCGTCAATTTTCTGAAGGTTTTCCCCCGGGATTCAACCCTTTTTTTTCATATCTCCATCATGAAATTCCGTGGTTCAAAAACACTTCAAAACTCACAGAATATAAGTGGTTTATGGGAATTTATGGGAATTTATGGGAATTTATGGTGGTTTAATGGGAATTTATGGTGGTTTAATGGGATCTAATGGGTTTTATCCTCTGGTAAACGTTTACAAAAAACTATGGAAAGATCCACCATTGTAAAAATGGGTAAATCCACGAAATTTCAATCACCATTTTCAATAGCAAACTGTTAGTCATTACCAGAGGGTATCCAGGACTGTATCCATAAGTATATCTTAAGATCCGAAAAAAAATCTAGTTCGCCCCCTTTTTTTGGCATGAACCGTTCTGAAGCGTTCAGGTGACAAGGGTGAAGCAAGGCCTGCAGCTGCGTGCGGATCTGCCGCTGATTCCCTTCTACCGCTGGCCCATGCGGAGGATCCCAGGCGAGAGCCGATTCCGGGGATGGCTTTGCCATGGATTTTCACCTGGTGAACATAGCATTTTAGAGCTACCCTCTGGTAAATTAACATAGACCCTGAAAATCACCTATTTTTAGTGGAAACTAGTCTTCCAACCCCTATCTGCCAGGGCCGATGTTAATTTACCAGAGGGTAGGTATGGATGTTCATCCCAAAAAAATGGTAAAACACCTGGTGGGCTTTTCAGATGGCGTTTATTCGTTGTTGGCCCTTGGCATCAGTTGACCCATGAACATAGTTGTGTGAGACATTTGTCAATTTTTATGGTTGAAATGAGGGCTAGAGGATAGGTATGTTCAACATTTGTTCAACCATATTTGGTGGTATTATTTTCGCATTGTCGCAATCGACCGATAATCTTTCAGCAAATTGATAAATGCGTCAACTAGATGCACACGGAAGCAAAGTCATCATAGGTTTGCTACGTTTTGGGTGAGGGAACCTAACGTGGTTTGACAGAAAACACCGTTTTCCTGGGTGGTTCCAGATGTTCCTTTGTGGCGGGCACTGATCTTATTATTTGGGGCGTGACATGGCATGCGTAGAAGGGGCTCTAGCTGCTAGAAAAAGATCGTTCCAATGGAAGCAGATATTGTGCCTGGTATTGCAAAAACCACGATTTCGAATGAGGAAAGAGTTTCTGAGTCTTCCGGATGATCCTATTCTTAGAAGTTGCAACTCACTAGAAACTCCAAATAGGTGTTTGTGCGGCCACAGAGTTCTTGTTGATCAAGTCTGCAGCACAATCACACTTTTAACATGGTCAATTTGAGTGTGTTTTTTTTTGGTTGGTTGAGGGATTGAAGACCAGGCAAACAGGTTCAGAGAAGGTTAAACCCATCACTGTGTTAGTAGGATATAGTCATAGTAGGAATTTTACCATTTTAAACCTACTTTGCACCTTTTTGGGGTTGTTTCCAGCTTCTTCCGTCTTCTTCCCAGTCCCTGGCCCCTTCCCTCAGGGCCGGGTGAAGAGGAAGACCCGCATCGTCCGTACCATTGCGAGCAACGCAAGTGCCTTGGAACATGTCGTTGACCTACTCTGATCTAATTACAGGGGTTAAATGGACAATGGATATATACATTATATAAATATATAAATGATATAATATGGTATAGTATGGTTATTACTATATTATGAACCACCGTTGATGGGAGATACCCTCTGATAAATTAACAGTTCGACCCTGAAAATCACTGGTAGATGATGGTTCTATAAATAGTGGAAACCATTGTTTATGGCTATCAAAAACCCTAAAACATATTACCCTCTGGTAAACTAACACAACTATGGAAAATCACCATTTTTAATGGGAAAATCAACTATACATGGCCATTTTCAATAGCTATGTTAAATTACCAGAGGGTAAAAGCATTATGCAAACAATTTTTAGTGGTTTCACTAGTCTGAACGAAGCCAGACGACTGGCAGGGTCGTCGTGTGAACATTTGCTGGAGGCTAGATGTTGGATAACCTAAAAAAATCCTGACAGTGACTATTTGCTGTAAACAAGCATGGGGGATATAGTTATGGGGATATATATATATATATATACGTATATATATATATATACACACATTATATTCCTAAGTGGTTATAATATATGGGAACAAACATATGGGGATATTAGGTGTATATATTATATATATAACGGAAACAAGCTTTAAACATGGGGATATATAATGTGAGGGAGGTACATGTGCACCGAATTGGAGATGTCTTGGATTCTTGGATCAATACCTATAGAAGTGTGCCCCACAACTACACTTGATAAACATTACAATTTGGTGCCCGAGTGTCTTAGCTAGTTGTCATGGGGATGTATCATGGCATATCTAGTTTTTTGAGATCATGGACTATATGTTGGCAATCAAAAAAGGTGCCCCAGTGTCTGGGCTAAGCTAAGGTGGTTTTTATAACCAGAGATTGACACTTGGGTTTGTTGGGATGATGTATGTTGGGGGGTTATAAACCACTGGGACCCACCTCGCATTTGTTCTTCACAGATCATGCACTGGGTCCCCTTGGGATGATTTTTGGGGGTACCCCCATGACTGAGGAAACCTTCACAAAAAACCATATTAGTTGGAGTAAACCATGGTATACCATGGTAAAGCCATATATCTGTTGTGGTACCCCAAAATCATGAACCAAGAATCCCCACGCCTTTGCTCGCCAGGGGCCGCGAGCGAAAGCATTGGGTCCAGGAAGCAGCACAGGATTTTCTGCCGAAGAAAAGTCCATGGTTGAAGCCCCTGGAGGATTGATACATGGATGGGGGGAGTGATGGATGGTGAAAAACCTATGACTTAGGGAGGGTTTATATATATATATATATACACATACCCTTTGGCCATTTAACATAGCTATGGAAATTCACCATTTATTTGAGGTACATCATCGATAAATGGGTCATTTTCCATAGCTATGTTAAATAACCAGAGGGTAGCAGCCATAAAGTTATGGTGATGACTTGGGGATGGTAAACATTCTAGCAATTTCTTGCCCATATTCCAGGGCCGAACATATTCCATGCCAAAATAGCTGCGAAATTTCAGGGAATTGCGAAGACCCCTTTCAGGTGAAATTTGTATTTCATACAGTTTGCCAAGTACTCCTTTTCTTCTGGCACGTACGTTGTCGACTGCACATGTTCTTCCCCAAAGAAGATCCTTACTTTCAACAATTTCTGGAAATGTCATAATTAATAATGTTGAGCTTTCCAAAAATGAATTAATAATGTTCTTATGGGAATTTGTCATCTACACTTTTCAGGATCTCAAAACCCAATTCATAAGCTTTAAGCTTATGTTCTGGCACGCTTGGCTGGCCTTTCATCAGCAGCGCCATCCCCATCTTTCTTGACATCTTTGTGGCCCCGCAAAGAGCTCTGCACAACAGGATCTGGGAACACAAATCATCGACGATCCTGTTTTCTTCTGTGCACAATAATTCCACCGATAGAGTACGATGCCACCCCTGGAGTGCGCTAATTTTCTGGAATGCGAAAATAAAACAGTATGCGTGGCCCCCTTTGACCTTCCCCATGGATCCAACACCAGTTTTTTTCCATCATATACCAGAAAATTATCACATTTCACCCTGCTGAGCTTTTTTTTTAAAATTTATTTTTATTTTTGGTCATTTTTGGCCAAAATGGCCTGGAATGCGATAGTATGTGAAACTACAGACGTCTCACGCGAAACCGCTACCTTGCCCATATTCCAGAAAACGTGATTCCAGGCGATTTTAGCCAAAAAAAAACAAAAAAAAACAGAAAAAAAGAGAAAATCGCCGAGTACGAAGATTTTATGGAGTGCGAAGATCTTGCAGAGTGCGTGGATTTTACAGTATGTGTACGTCCCTAGTTGTGGAGTGCGATGCCCTCGCTGGAGTGCGAAGAATTTGTGGAATGCGAAGAATTCCGAGTATGCGTGGTTGGTATAGAGACCACATAGAGAAATTTCGGGGCCAGAACCAAAATTCCAATCCCAAAGCCAGCCCAAACTTCCAGGGGCACACCAGTGGGCTCTATTTTTCCGAGTTCACCTTGGGTGAGGTCCCGGGGAAGAAACTTGCTAAGTTTTTACTCAGCCAACCTTTAAAAACGTTACCTTTGACAATCCTGTCCTTCTTCAGTAGACAAATGAGGAAACTTCCTTATCAAAGCAGCCTTCAATTCATTCAACGTCCACAGCTGCTTTGGAACGACATAGGGGATAGAAAGCTGTGGAGGGGCATTCAGTGGATTCGCCATGGGCCAACTGTTCCCTCCAGATTGAGCTGAAATGCCTATCAAAGTAACATACCAAAACCCAGGTCTGGAGTACGATAAAAACATGGTATGCGAAGATTTTCTGAATATGGGAATGTTGCCTCTAGAAACATGGCATTGGTCATTAGGTTCATACATCACATTACGGGCATTTGGCTTGCTTGTCCCCTCTGTTCTTTGCTTTTGTTGATTTTGAGTTGTCTAAAAATTGGAGTGGTTTAGGCCTCCTGTACGTTCTGTTTTTTGTTTGCGGTGGAGTTACCCTCCGGTAATTTAACATAGCTATTGAAAATGGCCATTTATAGTGAGTTTTCCCATTGAAAATTGTGATTTTCCATAGTTATTATGTTAGTTTACCAGAGGGTATGTGATTTCCGGGTAAAATAGTTGTGGCCATGGCAGCCATGGATTGTCTCATTTTTTCTTGGACTCCGAAAATCACAGGGGAAAAACATGGATGAATAGGGTATTTCATTCATTGCCCGATGATGTTTCAGACACACCCACAGTCACCCACATAGATCACATAGCAGGTTGGTGTTTTTGACATGCTATGTGTTTATCGAATGGTTGGTGTTTTTATCGAATGCGCATGTTTTCTGGTTTTCTCCAGAGGGATGGAACATCTCAACTTTCAGGGTTGCTTCAAGCCATGGCAAATGATGGCCACAACGGGTAACCTGCGGGGTTGAAAGCGACAATGATTTTGGATTCAACTTGAGATTTTGCACATCCAACTTCTACCCTGACGTTCCTTGCATCACAATTTTAGATCTGTATATATATATACTATATATATATACACTATATATTATATATCATATAGTTCGAAGCCTTGTATCCCAACTTACGGTGCTTACCATAGGTTATAGCCATCAAAATCACCACCCTCACCACGGTTACGTGTCAGGATCCCATTGTTCCGAGCCCGAGCCTGCCACGATCCTTGCTGAAGCCGTGCCTGGGACGAAGCCTTATGGGGGACCGAAGCCATGACCTACAGCACCTGCGGAAAGTAACCCAGCAGACCCAGCAATGGTGCGGATGTGATCACCGACTTCATAAATCTGAAGATATCAACTGAATCTATGATTCAACACAATGATTTGAATGGTGAATCACCAATTTGTGATTCTACATCATTTATATCGGTTTATGAATCCCATAATCTTTTTCGTTTCTTAAAGATTACTATCCACCTAGACTCTGACTGTCAGTCGTCTTCCAAAGCCAGAAAAACTCTGCATTTCAGACGATGTTTGGGAAGTTCACATCTCCAAAATTCTCCCAACAAAATCAGATAACTCAGATGTTCCAGCTTCAAATCAGCGATGTTCAACGACCTTTTCCATCCTGGTTGGTGGTTTCAAACATGAATTTTATTTGCCATTTCATATATGGGATGTCATCCTTCCCATTGACTTTCACTCACTCCATCATTTTTCAAGATGGGCACAGCCAGCACCACAAACCAGCATCATGGTGTCCAGTTACCCTCTGGTAAACTCACATAACTGATGGGTAAATCACCATTTTCAATGGGTAAATCCACTATTTCTATGGCCATAAAATCCATGGATCTTGATTCAGCATGTCATCCAGGACCTTGGATGAGCTACTGCGCTCCAAGGTGCGGCGCAGAATCCAATGGATCGAGGTCCTTGGAAGCCCCAAATCCCTATGAGGCATCCCCGTGGCCTTATTCTACAGGGATAGACAAATAGGTTGCATCTGTCTATCTGTCTGTTTGTCGGTCTATCCATCTATCCATCTATCCATCTATCCATCTATCCATCTATCCATCTTCTATCCATCTATTCATTATCCATCTATCTATCCGGCAATCTTGGCAATCTTGGCAATCAGTTGGCTAAATTGTTTGTCCCTTCGGCTACTATTTGTTTACCCTTGTCAGGAGGCTCGCTTGAAGTATAGAAAACATGTAACATGTCTATACCCTAAACCCTATTTTTAACCATGCAAAATAATGCCAACTATTCATATACATCCTACATCTATGGGCTAGGAAAAAAACCACCGCAAAACTCGCTCATTCGAAAAAGTTCATGATCGTCCCGCATCATCCCCATTTTTTGTGGCAAAACATCTCCAGGGACGTTTTGTGCTGGGCTTGGTTCCAAGGCAGGGACTGAAATTTCACCAACATATGGGGAGAAAGCCAGGAAAAATCTCGTTTTTTCTTGCTGGGACGTCAAAAAGCTCCGGACATGGTGATTTCAAGAGCAATGAATGGGTATACAATGCGAAAATGATGGTACAGCTTGGTTGATTCTAGTCAGATATGAAGGTGAAGATGAACCTAACCATCACAAGTTTAGACTTAGGAGCCATCAAAACGTGAGGATATCACACGGCAGATGGATGAAATTCTGTCGGGTACGTGTCATTCTGGCCTTTAACCGTCAGCATCTTCGAACCCAGAAATTGTTGCTTGATATCCCATGATTTTTGGCATTCTGCCCTTCTAATTGGTTATCAAAGAAAGTGTCATAGAGAGACCGCAAGTTTTGGATGGATGTCTGACACTCACAGATGTACCTCCAACAAAAGGTAGATAGAAGTAGTCGCTGAGAGAAGTTGCTTGCTGGGGTTCACGATCCCAGCATCTGCTTTTGGTTTCTCAAGTTTCTCTTGTTGGTGATTTCAGATACTGTACTTTTCATGTTCAACTTTGTGATGATGCTCCCAGTAGACTTTCATATTTGTGTCTGTCTGAGAATGGGGTATACCTCCAAAATGACAAGTCTAGTCCATTTTAACGGGAAAAACATGATAAAACAGCAGAAAATATGGGGTATATATCCATGATTTGCATGGATTTTACCATGATTTTACCATGATTTTGCAGTCATTTTGGGGATGCGTTGTTTCACTGTTGTTCTCAGCAGTTCCCAGTTCCCCGCAGGCTGCCAAGCGTCCCAAAGCTGACCCCTCTTGGCCCAAGCCTGCGCTAATGCGGAAAAAAACCGCGCGCGCAACTTCAACTTCGATTGGTGATTGGTGTCAAAAAGAGACCTTGCTGTCAATCTAGCAACAATCTTATGGCCCATTTATGGCTTATGAATTTACACCAAGGTCTCTTATGGACAAGCTTATGATTCATTGGCTGAGTGATCAACGGCTTGATCTTGGCTGCATTTTCCCAATAAAACATGATCCACGAGGCGAGGGAATCGATTAAAAGGCATTTGATCGGTTACCATGGGATGATTTAGGCTCCAATCTGTGAAAACTTTTTTTAGAATCATGTTTAATAGGTAAATCATCATAAATCATCTATACATGGCAATGTTCAATAACTATGTTAAATTACCAGAGGATGTTTTGATGTTTACTGGTCTATTGATCCAATAGGATCAATCATCATTGACATCATTGATGCCTTTGTAGGACAATTGATTGGTCAATTGACATCATGGACATCGTTCATAGATCAGTTTAACAGGTCAATTTTATTGAGAAATGTTTGCTATAAGGACATGCTTGAGTTCCCATCATCAAGGGATGGGCCAGCTAATCAAAGCTAGGACACTAGTCTTCAATATAGTAGGCACAAGGGCGAAGACAACGCTTTCGAGATCGCCTACGATTTTGTTGTCTCCCCGTTGGTTGAAGCAACAAAAACAAAGAGGAATCAGTTTTGAATAGCTAAATTCCATCGAAAGACATTTAGAATATTTTAAAAGTACCCGAATTACACTTCATTTCCATTCATTTCTTGCGATTTTTGAAGTAATTAAAATGGGGAAAAATCAGTACAGTACTATATACAGTAGAATGCATGGTAGCACAGCTGCTGGTAAGTGTAACATCATTTTTTGACACCAAACCCTTTTATTTTCATCCTGCCGAGTGGTTTGGCCTCGGCATATTTTCAACATTGCCACTGTGGCATCGTTTAGCCCAGATGGTCTTCCAGTTGTATATAGTTATATGGTTGCCTGGGACATTCAGCACCCTTCCCTGGCAAAATGCGATGAAATGAAACAGCGAAGGAAACTCTCATGGCTTTGTTACCCATAGCATCTATGCTGGTTGGTGGTTTGGAACATTTTTTATTTTTCCCATCATATTGGGAATTTCATGATCCCAACTGACGAAGTCATATTTTTCAGAGGGGTAGGTATACCACCAACCAGATATGGATTCTATATGGATTCTATGTGATATTATGGATTTCTATTGATTTATTGATTGGATGCTGGTGTTTCTCAGAGATCATGGTCGGTTTCTTTTGCAAAGTTCAATCCCACAATGGGCCATGGCTTTGGTAAATATCCCATCCTCACCACCGACATCCGAAAAAAGTCCAGGGCGTTTGGCTATGACCCACGGCATCCCACGGTCGCGGATCTGTTGGGGTCCTGATTTCTAAGGAAAGGCCCCAAGCAGTCTTTGCTGGTCAAATAGCAGGAGAGGAGGAGACAATCTGAAACAATCTGAACTTCGAAAGGGTGAGGTGAAGGTATCCTTGAGGAGAGATTTCCAACCATGTCCATAGCTTTCATAATCTTTGTCTATGTCAATAGAATAATTAGATCACTGTTCTGATCTGAAATCATCTTGAATCAGAGATTCCAACTACTCAAACGTTCCCTAGAACATCCTAGACCCTCCCACCAATAAAAAGTATCATTGGCCATGTCATGTATCAGATTTGCTACCAATGACCACTGATCCCAATCTGCTGTCAGACTGTCAAACATCGATCTCCAGCCAGCCGAAATTCGATGCACGCCCTGGTTGTGAACTCGACTAGACAAGACTGGGTGTGTCTGACATTTATGCTGGATCTATCCGATCTATCCCCAATGTTTCGACGGGAAAATATGGGAAAATGACGTTTAGAAAAGCATCACATTTGGGTGTACCTCTCATTTTCAGACATCCCATATATGAAATGGAAAATGCCAAAGTCATGTTCCAAACCACCAACCAGTGATTGTTAACCATTAACCATCATTAACCACTATTATTGGTATATAATCCCATTATAAAGATGATTATCCCATTATAATAACCAGGTAGACGTGGTTAACTCGCAACTAATAAGCCCCCGGTTTCTCGAATCAGAGCGGTACCCCTGCCATTTCTGTCTCTCTCGTTTTGGGGTGACCCACAGATCAATGAACCAGGGCATATATGCAGGGTTTACAAGGAGATTCTAGATTGGGTTGATCTATCTAACTATCAATAAATCTATCTATCTATCTATCTATCTGTCTGTCTGTCTGTCTGTCAATCTGTCTGTCTGTCTGTCTGTCTGTCTGTCTATTTGTCTATCTATCTATCTATCTATCTATCTTTCTTATTATCAGGGAATCATTGCTCATGCTCATATCCGGGGATTAACATATATACCCAATTTTCTAGCAATGATTGGGGTGATTTGGCTCACCTCACAGCAGTGTTACATCGCTGGTGGAAACCCAGCTTTTTTGGGCCCTTTAGGGGTTCCGTAGTCATGGAAAATCCCCTTTATCGCTGGTTGGTTTATTTCATGGAAAATCCATCTATAAATTCCATTCATCCATGCGGAGGTTTCCATAGTCATGGGGGTACTCCTTTATCGCTGGATGGTTTATTTCTTGAACAAATTCATCTGTAAATAGATAGACAAATATCTATGGAGGTGTCTAAAAATGGAAGATCCAGACAGATCCCATTTTACATTTTCCAATAGCTGGATGATCTGGGGGTATCCACATGGATTCTACAAAAGGAGATTCATGCTGGAGTTGATTCATGCTGGATTTTCCACTTTTGGTTGGTTTTTTTCAGGGTATCATTTTCCCAAAGCAATCCCCTTGATTTTCCAGACAGGGAGGGGTTCAGGAGTTGACCCCCAAAAAAGTTGCGAGTCCAGAGCCAGCGGAGTCTCGCGGCGACCTAACATAGGAAGCGCTCGAGCGCTGATGAGGGCAGAAAAGGTTTCGCCTTGGGGACGTAACAATATGGGGGTTAAATGAGGGGTATGTATAGTTTTCCTGAAAACCAATAGAGACGGTTTAATTTACAACTCTTTTTTGTAGGATTCTACATGATTCTACTTTTCTATTTGTTGGTGGGAGCTGTAGAGCCAGAATGGTAATCAACTCCTAAGGCACGTATATAGGAGAAGTGCCGCGTCGGTACAGCATGTTCCAGTCACGTGGATATATAAGCTGTGCAAGTGCTGAATAAGATCTTGTTGCATGGTGACTTGAAATATACGCAGCAGTATATAATATCAATCTATATAGCATTTATATAACTATAACTAAAACTAAGTTTATATAATGCCAATCCATGGAAATTCCTGAGATGATTTACGATTCAGCCAACTTGCTAAATGTTGTCGGGATGGGATGAAACCATCAAACATATTGGTTACTTCGCGTTTCTTTTGCTTGGACCCAACGGTGCCAACGCGACGCCAAGGTTGCCTCAAATCTTCATGCGGCCATATGCCGTGTCAGATGCCTAGCAGCTTGCAGTCCTCTTGGAAACAAGAGGGAGAGTGACTCATGTGGTAAACCCGACAAAACCCATGTTAGAGAATTGTGTTCAAACATGTTTAATGCTCCCAAATCATAACGTGTTTGGTACTGTAAGTGGGGCTTTTGAGGCGCTTGGGGAGTCTGAGCGGATGACTCAAAGGTTCTGAAAACACCTACAAAAGCATATGGAAATCACCATGTTTGTGGTCAAACTCCCCGTATTTTTGGGGTGTGATCAGATTTTTTAACTGGTTCAACTCCAGACATGTCAGATGAAACTTCACTTTTCTTGTTGAATTAGGTTTTGAACATAGGATACCCTCAAATTTGATGTTCTGAAACATCATTTTCCCGATTAAATTGACATAGATCGGGGGCAGATTCCTCAATTTTTTGAGACAACCCTAAGTAATTAATATGAGTTCTATGACATGATTGTATCCCTATCTCCCCCATCAACACATTTCAAGATGGTTAAAAGGAAATGACATGATCTCACCAAGATGGTTAAAAGAATTGAACTGATCTCCCCATTTAGGCCCCATTTCAATCATTATCTATCCCAAGTTATATCCCATATATGTATATATATATATATGTATATATATATATATATGTATATATATGTATATATCCATTGATGTGTATATCCACCATGTTTCTCCATGTCAGTAAATGTCCATCTCTCCCAGATGGCAGCAACTGCCCGAGCAGTCGGAGCAATTGAAACGGGAGAAGTTGGAGCTGGGTACGGAGACCGAGATGGTGACCGAGATTGGAAAGCCCATGGATTTTCCCCAGGATTTTCCCATGGATTTTGTGGGGCTTTCCTGTAAACATCCCGTAAACCAATTATACCAATCCATTGAAAATGATGATTTGTCATGGGGAAAAACTGACCTTTGACCTGGGAGGAGACTCATGGATTTTAGATGATTGAACATGGCTGATGGCTGCTGTCCATGGACCTATGGTGAGCAATATTGATTCATGTTCAATCAACAATGATGGAATAATGGAACAGAAATAAGACATGAAAGGAAAGGAGACGAAAGGCCACCGATTTTAAATGGTGGATTTTCAATTGCAATGTTGAAATTCCAGAGGGTAAGGATTGGTAAGGAGACTGGACACCATGGATTTATGTCGCTATTTTTTTGCATCAACAGTAGAGATTCAACCATCAAACGACGACAATCCGGTCGTCGGGTCGTCATGGTATAAATCATGCTATGCTTGGAGATCATAAATTTGGGATAATCAGTGGGATCATCAGTGACACATTCGGTGACAGCTAACACACGGTTGTGTTTTTTTCAGGGCCCCATGAATCAAAACTTACGTGGGGGTTGCTACCATGAAAGCAGGGAGAATCTAACCGGGCTTGCTCGGAAGTCCCGAAAGTTTAAGTGTGGTGGAAATTGACGAAACATGTCCCACGCGAAATTTGGATTTTCAGCCAGGTTGGAAATTCCGGATGGCATTCTTGTTGAATTCCATGGTGTCCCTTTTCACCCCCGATTTTCGATATGCACAAAAATAGATATGTGTTTTTGGCTGTCAAAACTTGTTTGCTGTTAAACCAGTCAGCTCTCCCATGCAGGATGTCATCTAAAGCAGTGAAATCTCTCATGTATAATCTATCTAGCAATGGAAAATCCCTTATTTCCAGCATGTGTATTAATTCGTACATGATTCTGCCAAGATCGACGTCAGTTATGTTGAAAATCATTTACGACTAACAAACACCAGATCTAAAATTCTAATAAATCACATTCAAAAAAATTAAACCATGTTAAAGCCATGACTTCTCCCATTTTTGGTGCTAAAAACCCTTCCCTTTTTGGCCCCTCAGCACGCGTGGCAGGTGCTGCGCTACTGCAGCTGCTGAAAGAGGCAGCGCAGTTCGGGAGACCCATGGATTGGGCTGGGGTGCAATTGATGGAGATTTTATGAACCATTAAAGTAGAAATATTACGACCCCATTACCCCCACTGTATAGTCTACTTAGTCTACTTATGTCTACTTATAGTTCACTCCATGCTGTAGCTATGATACCAACCATCTAAGTCATTGTACAGTAATTTAACTGTTAATGCCATTAATTAATAGTGGAGATTATAGATTATAGATGATATGTAATGGGTAGTGTTTTATTAACTATAATGTGGTTTATTATAAGTGTACCTGGCTGGTTGGTGGTTTGTAACATGAATTTTATGACTTTCCATATATTGTGAATAATATTCCCAACTGACGCACTCATATTTTTCAGAGGGGTTGGCTCAACCACCAACCATTAATGCCATTAATTATAGGTAATTATAGATTATAGATGATATGTAAAATTCGTAGCACCAAAATTGTGTTATCTCAATTTGTGGAAAATTAAGTACACATTATATGTAAAAATGGGTAGTGTTTTATTAACTATAATGTGGTTTATTATATTTTATTATTGTAAAATGGGTGGTAACCATGGCATTGTTTTAACCACATATGATTGATTTTTGTTTAACCAACCGTAAAAATTGGTGTATGTGTATATATATATATATTGTGTTTTATTAACCATATTTTAACCATACATGATATGTGCAGGATGGTGCCCCCCAGTGATGTTTGTTGGTTAAAATTAGGCTAATTAAATTATATGTGACATGGGTAGTGACTATTAACTATAAAAGATATGTAAAACACCATAATTTGGGGCAAACCATTATATAACTCTAATGTTGGTAAAACAATAATAACCACCCATTTGAGAATGGTTTATACCCCCTGGTAAACTAACATAGCTATGGAAAAGCAACATTTTTTGTAGGTAAATCAACAAACTAAATGGGTCATGTTCCATACTCATGTTGAATTACGAGAGGGTAACTAGAAATGATATGTAAAATTGGTAGTGTTTTATTATATTCCAAATTGTTTTATCTCATTTTATGGAAAAACCATATAAATGGTGACTTAAGCCAATAGATGAGGATCAACCATGATGATAAATGATTATTTTTATGTAAATTTATCAAACCACTTAAAAACCAAAGGTACTTTAGATGGTAAAATTGATCCTGACACTCTAGATTACCAATAGTAATATTTTTCAAACCACATCTAAAATGATATGCAGTTTAATTGTAACTTCTGGTTGATCAAGCAATTTTGGTAAAATTTATGCAATTTTGATCAAGCCACATAAAATGATCCATGGTGATAAACATATTTTCAAAATGACAATTCAATTTAAACCACTGTGGTTTACCACATGAACAAACTATATAATTATACATAATAATTACATGCTAATGATTTTTATTAGTTATCCAATACATGTTCTAATGATCAGATCACACGTGGCATGATGAAAAGTTTGATTCGATTAATCCATATTGCAGGATGGTCATATCAAACATTGGAATTAATAATGGGTCCACTCATGTGTTCATAACCTTTTGTACACAGATGTAACTATTGATGGTTATTGATGGTTAGAGGTATATTATATATATTATGTATCATATATCCGTATATATAATATCCCACTATATCCTCCTGACATTCCGTCAAAATCCATATATTCAAGTCATATAACCATTTTCGATATTTTACTATTGTTTCTTGAATAACCATATCTAATATCCAGTATAACCATATTTTTCTATTATTATATTGTTTCCATGGTTATATACAATATCCAGTAATAATATAGTATATCCAGTTTCTATACATATATCTAATATCCAGTATAACCATATCTATTATATCCAGTATAACCAGATATTTTTCTATACTATATTTTTATATATCCAGTATAACCATTATATCCAGTATAACCACTATATCCAGTATAACCACTATATCCAGTATAACCACTATATCCAGTATAACCACTATTTCCAGTATAACCATTTTTTTTTTAAATGGTGACTTGGGGATATCCCATGAATAGAACGCCCAGCTAAGGCGATGCCCTAGTGCCATGTTGGAACCCATGCTGAAGGGGGCCACCTTGGGTCCTGACATCCAACGGTCGCCTGGCAGATCAAGAAACCGACCACGGAAAACGTGGGGAAACGGAAAACGTGGGGAAAACGTGGGGAAAAGGGAGGAATTTACCCTGTAAACCAACAGTTTGCTACTGAATCACCAATTTTCATAGGTCAATCAATTATCAAGGGGCAGTTTTACATAGCATGCGAAATCACCAGAGGGTACCAAGAATTCATGGACATATGGGGATACCATGGACTACCAGCACTTCTGACGAAACATTCTGGGTAATGATTTCCCATGAAAAATGGTGTCGGAGAGTTTATATGGATCAATCATCGAACATCTCGGACATCGAATGGATGGATAGTTTAGTGCTAGCTAATCGTTTGTTGTAAAAGGATAAACAAAAACATATACATAATAAATAACATTATATTGTACATATACTCGCCAGCAAATTGTGTTTCTTTTTGGCCGGGTAAGATTCGCCATGATGAGACTGGCTGCTTGAAAAAGCCATTTTTTCAGTCGGCCGGAGCCCAGTGTTCAAAGCCCTGTGTCGTGGTTGAGAACGGAATTCTCATGGATTTTGATTATCACCTATACCGGTACATGGGGATTTCCTAAAATGGGGGTACCGAAAACGGATGGTTTATAGTGGACAATCTGAAAATGAAATGGATGAGAACTGGGGGCAGCCCTATTTTAGGAAATCACCATATTATGATTTATACTGCAGGGGTTCTACTTATGGTTTATGATTATCATGGATTCTACTATGAGGGAGTCACTCTCATGGATTGTGATATTTCCAAATATTATATTGGTAAGTACAACCCCCAAGCTAATCATCAACCAACCATCATCAACCAGCAGTTGTATCCACAAACATATCCCCATAGTTAAGTAGAATCTACTAGAATTACTAGAATCATCAAGCAACAGGGTTAGCTCGCAGCCATTCGCCTGATGTTCTCTGGCAGTGGACGGTACCCAGGTATGCTCAAGAGATGATGGGCTTTCTGCTGTCTGGGGGCCTGGGGGTTGAGGTGAATGGCTTGCGTTTCAGGGGATGTAGCCTCCCATAAACCAACATACTGCGGATGGTTAAGAAATCCCAATCACCAGTTGGTAGATGGACAAAATCCCATGAACCTATCCCATTATTTTCTGTTGGGTTTCATAGTTAGCAATAGTTACCAACTGGTGATTGGGATTTCTTGACCATCGACTCTGAATCGCTATGAATCGCTATGAACATTCACCATTTTTGGCAAATCATCGAACTCTCTCAATGGGTTGATGTTCCATAGCAAACACTTGGTGTCACCACAGGATGGCCGATGCACAGGATTTCTAAAGACATGATGCAGCCAGTTGCCACGGGCGTCGATGGTTGACCCAAGAGACCCAGGAGACATGAGATTTTGGTGATTTTTGTGTACCCTCTGGTAATGACTAACATAGCGAACTGGAAAGATCCACCATTTATTCTATAGGTAAATCATCTATAAAATGGTCCATTTTCCATAGTTATGTTAGTTTACTATGTTTACTGGAGAGTATTTCCCGTTCATTTTGGGTAACCCAATTCTGAGCCACATCCTCTGGAGAACTCCAGGGTCAGAAAAATGGGCTTGTCATATACACCCTCTCGGCTACTGTAGCCATCTGTACGTCCATCCCATGGCGAAACCGATCAACTTCACTCCCAGCCGAGGATAGGGCTGCAAAACCCCAAGGAGTCCGGACTCCGAGCCGTGATGATCGGTCAGTTGTGTTCTCCTGAAAGCTCTGCAGGGGAAGAAGTTGTGGACTGCGTGGTGGGGCAATTTCCCACCAAAAGATCAGAAAGTCATAGAAAGTCTACAATCTACACTACAAAAGGATGTCTTTTTGCGAATGGACAACAATTATTTTTTATTTTGAGGTCCAGAAACGGGCTTTTGCGCAGCAAAACCAATGATACAAAATACATGTTTGAGGTGAGAAGGTAGTGTTTGGATATGTCCACAAGTGTAACAGATATACACACGCATTTGAATCCCAAATAAGGTTGCAGTAATGAAACCAATCTTAGGTTTGGAAGACGATTTTGAGTTCCATGTGAGATTTTGGGGTGTTTGGTTGGTGGTGTATTTTTAAAGGCGTGTTTTCATCTCTAAGTGTTGAATGATGGTCTTTTTCAAGGAGTTACATAAACCAACATTCAGATGTACCTGAGATGTATTTGGTGCGTTTGGCAGCCCTTAAGGGCTGCCCAGTGCGGGTCTACGAAGCTTGACCAGCTGTGATTCTTATCAATTTGAATGGACCATTTGAACATGACTTACCTTACCAAAGCCAACAAAAAAAATCGAGACTTAAATGGACGTAAGGAAAATGGGGATTAAGGACTTATTGAACTATGGCAAAGTGCTGAATTCATATCCATAAAAAAAAACCTGAGTTCGCGCCGTTCAGGAATCAAGATTTCCCGTTGCTTTCGGATCCAGTGATTTGGCCCAAACCAAAACCCGGCCTGGTTTCTACGTTTAGAGAAAAAACGAGGGAAAGATCCACCATAGCCTATGAAAAGCTGGGAAAGATCCAACTATTTCGACTGGGCCATTTTTTTTGAATCGCAAACTGTGAGTTTACCAGAAATATATATCGACCTATGGAGATCGGTAATATAGTGATTGACCAGATGGCAAAGCCAGTCACAAAGAGTCAGCTTTCGACTTGGATGATGAAGACTTAACATTCTTGGCACTGGGAGTTGTAGCTTTTATCCCCCTTCGTTGTGGAACCAAAAAAATGGCAAGACCTAGTGGGCAAGTCCTGCCTTTGCCGGGGGGCCTTAGAATGAAGTTCCCCAAACCGGTTTGAGGGAATAACGCTCAATGGTTTCCTGTAGATGGTCCTCCAAGACAAGATTTTTCTTAAGTATGGCAGCATGATTCGCAGCCACTGCGACATCTCAATAGGGCCGGTTGAAGCCTACAACGGGCTCATCATGAATGCAACTGGCCAAGGAAATTCACGAGCACAATTGAGCACAGCTTCCATCCAATCCAAAATAATCCAAATGTGACAAAGACTTCCAAAGGATGATGGTTTCCTAATAAAAAGCTCATGATATGCCACCCCTCTTTGGACATCATCGACTTGGACATTTTTTTTTCCAAAAGGATGAAGATCATCCCGGCATGGTAGATTCGGCACAGTTGTCATCGACTTGGGCAACCAAAACCTCCATTTCTGGGCCATGTGAATCCACGATCAAAAAAAAAAGATTTTGCCCTAGCTATAAAAAGCCAGGGATTTTCAGTTGCCATGTTTGATGAGACCTAAGGGATCCTAAGGGTAACCACCAATTTGTCCAACCTTCTCCATTCTTTCCGCATCATCGCCACTATGGCGATGCAAAGCTTTCGATGGCTGACAGCGGCGGCAATACTGCAGCTGAGCGTGGCAGACTTTCGGGTGGCTTGGGATATGAACCATATTTATGGGAATATTTTATGATGTTTTTTCGGGATATTTTATGGACTATTTGTAAAGGATATTTATTGCCATTTTTATGGGATAAATGTGGTTCTAAATCATCAAATTAGTCAACCGCATTTTGGGGATAATACTTTGTTTTTCCAGATGCCAGAGGACTCATCAAGCAAATGACGTACCCTATCACCAAACATGGCTAGCGGCTAGCGGGACAATCCCTTATCAATGGGAATTGACATGGGAAAATCATCTCATATATATCTATATATATATATATACATAATATAATATATTATATAATATACAAATACAAATATGTATTATCTATAAATAATCCTCTCTCCCTATTACTAAAACACCCCCCCTACCCACCAAATGGTAAACACGGTGATCAATTTTTATTATTAGGGGGTATTTTGTATTAGGGGTGCCCCTAATATCCCAATGAAAAAAGCAATAATAAAAATACAGAAACTCGATTTCAAATTTGATTAAATCCCTTTTTTAACATCTATATAAAATATTGCCAAAAGCTGGATTTCGAAGCTTTCCCCTAATATTCCAATGAAAACCTTAATAACAAATTAAAAGAAAACTCGATTTCAAATTTGATGAAATCCCTTCTCAACATCTATATAAAATATTGCCAAAAATTGGATTTCGAAGCTTTCCCCTAATATTCCAATGATAACCTTAATAATAAAACTAAAAAATAAAACTTGTCAGATGGGACCCTAGTAAAAAAACCTCCAGGTGGCAATCTATTTCTATTCATACGGGGTTGAACCCATTGTTTCACCATCCTGTTCTCCTATTGATTCTCAATTTGCCACAATTAAGAATCCGATTGTGCCCAACCAAAAAAAAAGGAAGTGCCACACCAATCCTATGTTTTTTATTTGGGGGAGTTTTTGTAACAGGAAGAAAGGATAAGTTGATTTTACATTGCCATGTTTGATTACCGGAGGGTACTGATCTAAGTTTACGGTGAAACTGTATATCAAACCACCTGGATGAACTTTGTTTTGTATCACTTATCACAACGTTTTCCAGGAGGAGTAGAACGCACATTTTTTTACTTCATATCTCCCGCTGATCTGTCAATCTTCCCATTCCCATTTTTAGTTTGGTTTCTTCCTTTTAATCCACATGTTTCTGTAAGTTGAATTAGGCTTTCAAACTGGTGACATCATGTTGCTATACTTTCCTTGCATCCTTCAGCCATAATGGATTATGTGGTTTTCCATACACACCACATTCCATATTGGTGATATATGTGCTAATATATTACACCATTGGGTACCTATTTGGTATTTACAAATTGGGTAGAATATACCATTGTGTATATACTATAGTGTGTGTGATGTACAAAATGGGTACCCATTCACTAAGCACACCACATATTCTGGTGAGTTTTCTGGCCCGGCAGCCTCTTTGTCCCAGGAACGGGAAGTGGTTTAGAAACAACATGTAGCATATATCATATATCTCTATATACTATATATATATATGTATAGATAGATAGATAGATAGATAGATAAATAGATTAGATAGATAGGTAGATAGATAGATAGATAGACAGATAGAAAGATAGATATATAGGTAGATAGACAGAGAGATAGAGAGATGAATAGATAGATAGATAGATAGATAGATAGATAGATAGACAAATAGATAGATAGATAGATAGACGGATAGATAGATAAATAGACGGATAGATAGACAGAGAGATAGAGAGATAGATAGATAGATAGATAGACAGACAGAGAGATAGATAGATAGATAGACAGATAGAAAGATATATATATATATAGATAGATAGACAGAGAGATAGATAGATAGATAGATAGATAGACAGACAGACAGAGAGATAGATAGATAGATAGACAGACAGACAGACAGATAGATAGATAGATAGACAGATAGAAAGATAGAAATATAGATATATAGATAGATAGATGTTATACATGTAAATATAGATAGATAGATTAGATAAGATTAGATTAGATAGATAAGATAAGATAAGATAAGATAAGATAAGATAAGATAGATAGATAGATAGATAAATAGATAGATAGATAGATAGATATATAGATAGATAGATTGTATACATACATATATAGATATGTGAGAGTATTGATAGTTAGAGATCTGATGCCCATTTTCATCCGGCCAAACTTCGAGGTGAACTCCGGCAAAGAAATGCGCTTGCCGCCCATCGGGGTTCCCGGGGCCAACCTGGTTAACTTCACCATGTGCCTCGCGCCCGGCTTAACGTTTGGGTTTATAGCTTAATGATGGTTACCCTCTGGTGAACTAACATAGCTATTGGAAATGGCCATTTATAGTGGATTTTCCTATTAAAAATGGTGATTTTCAATAGTTATGTTAGTTTACCAGAGGGCAATGGGTTTGTAATATGCCGAAAACGGTGGGGTTTATGGGGAATATAGCTATCCAAGAGTTACCCTCCAGTAAAGTAAGAGTTTGCGAACTGGACAATGGCCCATTGAAATAGTTGATTTACTTATGAAACCTGGTGATTTTCCAGTTCGCTTAAACTGTAAACGTTTACCAGAGGTTTTTAGACAAGAAATAGAAACATCGGAAACATCGCTCAAGCTACTTGGAGGATCATAAATTTTCCGGAGCCGTTTTTGTGGTTAATAAATGTTAATAAGGTACCCAATTTGGTTATGACTAACAGTTCGCCATGGTATAGATGATCCATAGAAATAGATGGTTTACCTGGTTTTACCTATTAAAAATGGTGATTTTTCAATATTTTTCATGGCGAACTGTTAGTCATAACCAGAGGGTAACCAATCTGCAGATGAGATGCAAGCCAATCTGCGGGGACGATCACCATGGGCAGCACCGAAATTTAGTGCTGGGATGATCCTCCAGAATCATCCAACTAACCCTGGTAGTTGGTTATTTACCTATAACAGTAGGAAGAAAAATCTATAGGGATATATCTATCTATGGGGAATATATCTATGGGGAATATATCTATGGGAATTTATGGTGGTTTAATGGGATCTAATGGGTTTTATCCTCTGGTAAACGTTTACATAGCGAACTGGAAAGATCCACCATTTTTCATGGGAAAATCCACTATTTCTATGGCCATTTTCAATAGCTACGTTAAATTACCAGAGGGTATCTTTTTGGGATATATATCTATAGGAATATTAATACTTGGTAAATAGTAGAAAAATCTATGGGGATGATAGGGAAATCCTACTACAACCTAGGTGAAGTAGGGTTGATATAGGTTGTATATTACCAACTGGGGATCAATACGGATAAATCATTTGCCACGAGGCTGGGGGCATAAGTAGCCTCTGGCAATATCTGCAGAGGTTCCGGGTTCCAGTGGCGAATTGCTATGAATCTCTTTCAACCAAGATCTCCATAGAAGATTATGAGTCAAATTCATCAACCTTTGGATTGTTTTTTTTTTATTTTTTTATTTTTTTGTTGGGTCTTAAACCATCAACCACTTTTAATCCATTTCAATTACCTGAGTCAAGAGTATGAATCAAAAATGGTTGGCTACTCAAAATGACCCGACACTATACCAGGTTTTTGACCCATTGAAATCGATATCTGAACCAAAACGCAGGGTGTATATACAAGTATATATATATAATTGTATATATGTTATGTAAATCTATACTAATATATTTACATATATATATATGGTCTACATACAAAGGCAGATGCGGATTGCAGTGCACATTTATATTTTTGTGGTTCATCCCCTGTTGTCCCAAAACGCTGTGTTTGTTCATCTTGCCCCATCTATAGTTATTTCATGACAATAAATCTTAGTTATTGGACCAAATGATCAGGCTATTGCCCCCATCCCAAATGAACAAAACCAAAGGCTACAATTATAAACCCTATAGGCTACAGACTCTCTATAGGCCATTTCTTCATCTCCTGCGTCACCACCAGTTTTTCCTTTCGAAACTCCGAAACAACTGGAATTTTCCGGTGTTTTTTGGTGATTTTCATAGGCTATCGTTACTATAACAGTTATAATCATGTATAACATTGTCCATGGGTCATTAAACGTCCCAATTGAACATCACCCAACCATGAGGTGTATCATCTATAATGGCCATTAAAGGGTGGTGTCCAATATCCCAAAAATGGGACATTTACCAATCCCTGTTGTCTAACCCTAGGGAAAACCTATTTCTTCATCTCACTTCTTCACCTTTGAAACGGTGCGGTATCAATCCCCCGAGGTATCTCTCAGATCTGAAGACCTTCGACGAGAGCCACGAGTTTCTGACGGTCTATGCCATGATGGTCATCACCTGGGAGGACCCGCGCTGGGTCAACGCGTCCCTGCGGAAGGCGAAAACCGGAGATTTGGGATTTGGGGGGTGTTTTTTTTTTAATGGAAAAATGGAGGGTTATACACCTCCCAAAAAAACCAGAGTTGTATAAGGAACATGATGAGTTCACCATGAAATTCTTGGAAACTCATGGAGTATCGTTTTTTTTGGAAACACCATCGTCCAATCCTGGTTGCAGCATCTTGATGTCGTATCGTCCCTTGGAATTCAGACCTATTCCAAGGGAGCATCGCTAAGCGGGACTTCTTGTTGAAGTGAACATAACCATCAAACCATTTGGGAGAACATAATTATATCTATGTTGTAAGAGATACTATGCACTATGACTATGATATAATGATAATCTCAGTTGGGAGAACAGGGGCACGGCGGTGATTGATTTGAGTCACTTTGTCCACATGTTGGCAAGAAATAGAGTATGCCCAGGTTGCCAGGTTGCATACCAGCTACGTCCTGCTACAACTGGTGCTTATCTTGAGCTCACCTTCTGGCACAATGTTTTAGGTTTACCAAAAGAATACAGGTGCAGCTTCCATAGGAATTGAACATAAGATTCTTGTGATATACCTGTGTTTGTTGGCATGAACACAGTTCCACTGTTCCCACTGTCCCAATCTTTGGAGATCTTGATCGCAATCATTTTCAGAGTTTACCCTCGTATTTGCTTGGTAAAATCAAGGGAAATCCTGCACGTTTCACTGCCAGAAGTCAGCCAGAAGTCAGTAAGTCCCTGCCAGACCAATGAGACCTGTTCCCTGAACAACTGCAGTGCGGATGAGTATCAAGCGGCTCTTGACTTGGCCGCACAAGATCTGCAAGGTTCGCCGGGTGAACAGCCTGCGAAGCCTGCGAATTTGGCGACGTTGTGTCCAGCGGTGTTGTTGTTGAACTTGCATAAGTGAGGTGATCATAGAACGATTTTATAGCAGGAATTATAGATATATAGATACTATATATATATATATATATTGGATTATATTGGAATTGAATGTAAGTGATATATGTGTACTGTATATATATATATATATACACATAATATTGTGTGTGCTTTTGTAGGATTGATTGGGGATCATAGCCCAAAGGGCTTATACATTATTTTGGTGACCCTCCTGCCATTTCGGGGTGTTCATTGGGATCATCGACTGCCCCAGTCCTGGTTTTGTAAACTCAGTGGTTGAGCTGGTTGTTTTTGGAATACCTGTTTTGATCATTTTCATGGGGATATATATATATATATATATATTTGAATATGATATATATATATATTATTATATAATATAGATATGTTATTATATAGATTTTTTATTATATATATATACTAACCAGCAAAAGATTGAGTTTTCTTGCGGAGCATCTAACATTGACCGTGCCAATCCCTGATTTCAACATGGACATCCTTTCCCTTTCCCGTAGGAAGTTCATCCTTTTGGATACATTTTTGTTCGAAGGTTCCAATGTTGAATTTACCCTCTGGTAAACTAACATAGCTATGGAAAATCACAATTTTCAATGGGAAAATCCACTATAAATCACCATTTTCAATAGCTATGTTAAATTACCAGAGGGTAATTTTCATTGTTTGAATTTCATTTTTTTGGATCCATTTTTATTGGAAAAAAAACATTCCACTAGTCTCGTGAACTTGGACATATCTTGGACCTTTTCTATCCATTTATTCCACTCGTGAACAGCCTGGGTGTACCATCTGGTTATGACTAACAGTTCGCCATGGAAAATCACCATGCTATTAATAGGTAAACCCAGGTAAACCATCTATTTCTATGGGCCATCTATACCATGGCGAACTGTTAATCATAACCAGGTTGGGTCTGGCAGCCCATGATCCCCATGATGTGAGGGATGGTCCTGGGACAGTCGGCTGGTGCCTTCTTCGAAGCAACGAGGGTCTACGGCCAATACCTGGGGTTGTTGGTGTCTGGCAGCGTGTGGACACCAATTCCCACCGATCTCTTCATCAAGACCTCTGACAACCCCTTGGGGAAGACCGAGTTCGACCCGGTGCTTGGTGCTTTCAAATACATTTTTGTGTTATATTTGAATGGTTTGAGTGTTTGAGGCGAAATCTGCAGGAAAGCATGGTTTGTCTTTAAGAATTATAGAGGGTTCCTGCAGATATTCCATTCAACCAAGTCTAGGAATATTTTCACGATGCTTGCGCGGGGGATGGACATCCTTACTGACTTTCATTAATTGATATGGCTCATAACATTACCACTTTGATGGGCCACATGACAAACATTGGAGGCCCTTGTTCGCTGTCATCATCTACATGAGGATTTCCCAGCCATGTTGAAAAGAACCAGAGGTTGTTGTTTTTTTTTTCGTATGGACAGATCCAAGGATTTTGTGTTTTTTGGGGTTTTTGGCGATGTCCACAAAAAACCTCCATTAATGTAAAAGAATGTCATTTGCACCATCCCCCAGTCATCACCATTTTTATATATAGGTGGTATGGTTACCATTCCCAGGAAAATGGGTGGTAACCATGGCATTGTTTTAACCACATTAATTATTCCAAGTATTAACCACTATTAACCATTATCTATAACCATTATTAACCATTATTAACCACTATTAACCACTATTGACCACAAAAACACTGGTTTTTCGGGATGGTCTTTCAAGCAACGCAGGTGATTTATATGCCACGGCCCAGCCAACTGGAAGGCATTTGGGTGGACCGGCGAACCACGCGTTTCGACGTCACCTTGTCCCATGAGCACTACCCCTTTGACGAACAAACCTTGGAGTTGTGCGTCACTCGAAAACCCAAGGCATTAGTGCAAGGTGTTGCCCCGCAGTTCGCTAAGTTGGTTCACAACTAATAACTAGTATACCTAGAAGGATTTGCACTTGATTATGGGTAAAATGCATTTGATTCTGGGTAGGGTTTGGGAGGTGATGAATTCAAATAAAATCTGTACCCCGCTATAAGTCATACTCAATATGATTATAAATCTAGATCTATATCTATGTCTATGCGTACTATATCTATATATCTGTACATAAATCTATCTATCTATATATATATATACACGCTACATATATATATACATTTGACATATATATATATGTCCTATAAACATACATCTACATATTCATTGACACCCATATATTCTAATACCCATAGAATCCCCACATATCTTTGTACCATCTTTGAAATCTTATGTATGAATATATTTAGTGAATATATATATATATATATATATTTATAGTATATATATATATATATAATATCTATGATATAATATATGTTCAATAAGTAAATATATATATTTATAATATTTTCATATATATATACATAATATGTATATATATATAGTATATAATATGATATTATACAATATATATATATATATATTTGTACATAATAAATTGTATATATCTGTGTATATATGTACCCCTAACCTCACCACAAAGCCCTTCTGGGCCACCACTTTGTGGCCAATTCCCTGGCCACTGCTGCAGCGGCTGGACGATGGTGGCCGATCTCCTGCGATGCTTGGCGGTGCAAACAACGGGCAAGGTAAATTATGTATTATACCCCGGACCTTTTTATACTTATTATATGTTATGTATTCTAACTAATAAGTAAGATTACCCCATATCAGTATCGCTCTGAAACGACAACAACAACCACTCAACAAGCGAGCAGCGCGCTCACAAAGCAAATGAAAACAACAACAAGCATCAACACAACCACCACCAGCACCAGGGACAACAACAACCAAGATGTCAGATAATGATTTGAAAGACGAGGATGATGAGGAGGATGATGAGGAGGATGATGATAATGATGATGAAAAAATCAAAGTGATGGTGGCAAAGAGGCCAAGGATGATGACAATAACGATGGTTATAGGACAGAGCACAAGACAGAAAAGAGTCCTTGCTCACCTTCCATTGGTCAGTCCATTGGGCGTCGCAGTGGTGGCGGTCTCAAATTGTGCCATTTGCCAAAGCTCTGAAACCTTCATAGGTTTGGTACTGCTTTCGGCTGCCGCACGCCGGGAGCACATTGCAAATAGCCTTGGGCCAACAGTAAGTACACCTCTTTTCGGTGAGAAGCCTTGCCAGCTGGTGGCCAGCCCTCAAGCACTTCAAATGCTTTTGCCATGAGGGCACACTGCTTCATCCCAGAGCAGGAAGCTTGTCCAAGTAGAAAAGCCATAGTTGCATCTCTCAGTTGAAGCAATCTCCAATCCACAAACCAGGAATTAAAGATGGACACATTTTAGATTTTTACCTGGGCCCACCAAATTTGATCAATTTTGTGGCTTGCTTTCCAATAGATAGGTTTTTACCACATCCAGAAAATAGATACCCAATAACCCCATGAAGTGCAACATGTCCCATCATCAACCCAAAGATAATAATAGCAGCGGCGCAAGACTTCAATCACATTCCGCAACAGGAACATTGACATACAGGAATACAAAGAAGTCATTTCCCGATCCATGACTTAGCATTCTTTGGGCCAAACAATTAGTGGAAACCAAGGTCCCGTTAAATTTGAATGACATTTTCATAAATCCATTTGATCTTACAATGGGAGGCTAGGATGATTGGGAAACCACTTAATATTTTTTGATGACACCGATTTTGTTAAAACCATTTCCTTGGGCATATTTGTATAAGCCCAGCCCACTCCCTTGCTGCACTCCTGTCTAGAGTAGTGTAGTGCAACCTGCCAGCACACGGAGTAGGGGGTAACATGTGATCGAAGGTAGCCTGGGGAGTGATGAAACATGAAGGATAATTCAATTGAAACCATTCTTTGTCTATGTTTGGGGGTAGATGTTCAGCCCAAAAAAAAAATCATGTGTTTGAGTTGACAACTGTGCCATGATGGCAACTTCTCACAAAGTGGGGTCCAACAAAGCCCAGATGGGCCAACCAGAGCTAAGGAGAAGCCTTGAGTTTGCAATGACACGGTTCCTCACATTTTCGCCCCTCGTCGCTCAGCAGCATGTCACAGGGAGACCAGTGTCCAGCAATCCCAGAAATGACAATTTGGTGGGAATCTCCGAAAAATGAATTTTCAGGATCATGACGAACTATATATTGAAATTAAATCCCAACCTCAGGGAACATGGGACACATCCTAATCAAAATTTCCATGTGGGGATGGATCTCAAAATTTCCCTCAGATCTGGGACTATTGGACCAAGAACACCTTTTGGTCTGGAATTGTTACATCCTGGACCATCAAAACCAGCGCACGTTGCGGCTGGATGCCATTCAACGACCATTTGAGCTGCCAACCGATTTTCACAGCCTTTGTGTTCCAAACCATGGGTGGCTGAAGAAACTTTCCAGCTTGGGACTGATTCATCTTGCCATTGCCACTTTGGTCACCCTCCTCCTTTTGGATGCAAAAGAGCACATTATGCTCCTTTCAGGGTCTTTTTGTTTGGAATGGGGCCACTACTAAGTTTGCTTATATACCCAATAAGTTATGTTTATCTTGAATCCAAACTGACTTAATTGAACATCAACTTCACTACCCCAAGGGTCGACCTTGTATGCACACTACTGCAAAGCAATATCCTGTGCCATGCTAGCAGGAAAACTATTTGAACATATTTGAACTTGGTTCCAAATAATGAGATTGGATATTTCAACAGTTGGTTGCCCCTGCCTTCTCAAGAACCCAATTTCCCTCTGGATCTTTGGAGGCCTTGTGGTAACACACGCGGCAATTTTCCGGTTTGGTTTGAGATGCCAAGTGTAGATGTTCGGCCATAGTGCCATAGACATTGTCCAGAACACCATGGGTGTCAGCACCAACATCAAACGGGATCTCCACATCAGGGTCAATCTGAGATGGGTCCACTGGGGCCTCCTTGAACTTGGCCCGCCCAAACCCACAAAGCACCGACGATTCTTGCAGTGTGACCTCCAGAATATGGATCAAGATGTTTGGATACCCAGATAATTATGTAAAAAGTTTGGGAGGGATAAGATTGACATGACCCCAGATAAGTTGTAACTAAACTCCTGTCCAGCGACCTCTTGGCCAGTCTGATTCACAATCATTGGGCCGCCATTCTTGGTGATACGAAGTAGTGGCATGGTAGTCAATTTTTTCGCTGCCCGGGCATTGACTATTGGGACCTGAATCAGCACCTCATCAGGATCTGGGAGCGATGAGACATCAACAATGGATCCCGAGATGTCTTCAACCAAACGACGCTTCTTGGTGGGCAAGACGGCGGTGGGGTTTCCAGGTTTTGATGGATCGGTCTTCTTCTTGGAGACTGAGAGCCCTTTGAATTCTTTGACTGGGGGATTTCGACCAAGGAATTCTTCATAGTATGTTTTGAACTCAGGCTTTGATTCCCACTGCTTGACAATAGATTCAGGGATCTCCAGGGTGACAATCTGGCCATCAACCTGGGGTGTGGCAACAGAATCCAAAAGAATACTTAAAACATTGAGATACAATGAAATTGGAAAACATGCTAAGTTTAACCACCATTTTTGTAAGATATTTTGGAACTTACCCACCTTTCCATATGTGCATTTCTTCAACGCTGGTGGTTCTGGCGGTGCTTCCAAATGTTCAGCTGGTGGATCATCTTGAAGCCTTCAAACAGACAGGACGAAAGTAAACAGTATTTTATTTGTTACAGTAAATATAACAAAAGAGATTGGGAATCATATGAACCCTGGCCTCTCACATCCTGGCACATTGAGCTTTCCCTGCTGGAAAAGCGACACCAGCTCCGCAGTCCAAAACACTTCAGACCAATCCTTATGGTCTATGTCGGTGTAGATTGGAAGATAAATGGACGGTACATTCACCTTTTGCTCCATGCGCACAAACCCCTCAAAGACATGGCCCACATTGGGGCAGCAATCGACGACGACAAGGCCCATGGAGGATGTAAACGATACGCCATCCTGGACCCACTTTGGTTTAAATTGTTTGCCCCTCCACCAAAAAAATCTAGATAATGGGCAGACACACAGACAAACACATCAGGACAATAGCCCAACTCAAACAACCAATATGACCAAAATGATTCTGATTTTGGATATTAATTCTGATTCGATGTAAAAAGATTTTATTTATGTCCAGTCAATGATTCAACACCAAGTTTCAACCGCTGACATCAAGAGCTGCTCTGCAGCATCCCCCCCGATTTGCGCATACTTCTGCGCACCGTGCGGAGGCTGAATTGCCGTTGGCAAGGCAGTAGGTGAAAACTCTTCCATGTGGATCATCTGCTTTGCTGGGGTTTGCTTTGCCTCCCCCACAGTGCGCCTCAATCTCTGAAGAGCTGAGCTCTTCCACATCCATTCATCCTTGTTGATGTCCAAAGAGCTCTGCAATGGGCTAATGAACCTTCCACCATACGCCATTGGGCGTTGGTCCCGCAAATCCTGAAAGAATGCCAGATTAATGTCAGGGAAAGACCAAGATATGTGAGTCAGAACCTTTAAGACACTTATAACTATAATAAACAGCTATTTCAAATGACAAGCACTAATTAAAACAAATGAAACAACATAATAACTAAGATCTGAACAATGACAAGGGTCTACCTTGGACTTCACATCGAAAAGGAGTTGGAACTGTGTGTCCACGGAGCACCCTGCAGATGAGAGCGCACGCACTAGCCCATATTCCTCAGTGAAAAGGTTGGTCTTGTACGCGAACTGGGGGTTCAAGAAGACTCCACAGCTAGTTGCCGGGTACGATGAGATGGTATGCCCCATCAGATGCAAAATGCATGGAGTGATCTCCGATTTCAGCAAGGATGGCGCAGAGTAATTGGCCACAAAGAGATACGCCTCGTTTCAGCGTTGTTGACATTTC